CCACAGTCTGCTGACCAGCGGATTGTCACATTCGGCGCATACCAGCAGGGGCCAATGGCCGGTCTGAGGACACCCACGCATCGGTTTCCGATGGCGACGTGTCTCCTCAACACGGTTGTGCACACCATGGCCGGACGCCATCCACGCACGACTCTATTCCTGGCACGAAATATGGCCTCTGGCTTGCATACCGACAACAATCAACAAGGGGTGAACAACATCCTGATCCCTCTCTCCAACTTCGAGGGCGGCCACCTCTTCGTGGAGGACAGCGCCGGGGATTACCTGTTGGACTCCGACGGACCCAGAGGACAAGTTCTCCCCGTGACCTTGCCCTACCTTAGTTTTGATGCCTCACGCCGACACCTAGTACTGCCATGGACGGGACGCAGACTCATACTCGGTACTTACCACATCCGAGATGCGGACAAGCTCTCCGCGCATTCCGCTCTGTACCTGAAGTACTCAGGCTTCGAGGTACGTCGCACAGCTACAAGCTCCTCTAGCTTTCAACGGCAGCACAGCTGATGTATAGCAATGCGCTGGCATGGGGGCAATGCCCAGCAGGCTTTCAGCTCAAGCTACGGAGTCTGCTGCACGCCCTCTTTGAGCCGGACTGAAGCACGTCCAATAGCTCAATAAATTTTGACCAACAGCCTCAGCTGCCGACACCCCCCCTGGCGGCTCGGAGACCTGAAAAGACAGCAGACACACACAGCTCTTTTCTGCCAGCGCGAGACACACGGATCGATCATGTCTACTGCTACTGATGCTGGCATATTGCTCTAAGGTCCGACGATGCCCTCAGGCGGCCCCTGCTGACGCCGACCTTCTGGCATGGCCGGACCAGTGCCCCTGCCCACTCGCACAAGCCAAGCTCACTCTGCAGCGCTGCCTCAGCGTGAATGCACTTGCAGCTTTCCTGCTGCGCCGCCGGGCTCAAGATCACTGAAGGCCTCAAGCATAACAACATACAAAGCGGAAGGCTCAGGGCTCAGAATTTTGAATATTACAGCATGCTCTGCCCTAGGCTACAGCTCTGACATTCCTGCGCAGTTCCTCACCACTTCACTTTCCCTTAGCCTGGTAAGGGCGCGGTGCTCAAAGAGCACAGGCAACTGGGCATGGCAGCCACACCGACCACGCCGAAGCCCTTCTTGGTGCTCAGTGACAGCACCTTGCAACACTTGCTCTGGCAAGGGGCCAATGGCCAATCCTACGGAATCATTGACATGGTTCGGGGTGCAATGCACGGCTACGTCATCTCCTGCCCGGGTACCACTCTCACAGCAGAGTACGCGGGTGCGCAGCCACCCAACCCAGCGGTGTTGGAGGTACTGGCCTGGCAATTCATCCGCGTCCTTGGAGAAACGCGACCTTTCCCGGCGGAAAGCCCTGCATTGATCAATTTTCTCCGGGATCACTACTATGACGAGGTTAGCGTGCGCCTGATCCCCATCAGACAAAGCTTATTACCCCATAAGCAGAAGGGCTACGACTGGATCGCGGAGCTCAGGGATCAGTATGGCCTGGGACGGTACGAACTCAGCGATGAGACCATCATGAGCCTCCAAGGCCCTCCTCCCCTGGTTGATCAAATATACAACCAAAATAACTGTCACTTTCGACCGACGGTGGCGGATCACGTCATTGGCTTGCTGGTATCCCGCTCAATTCAAACGATGCGGCGACTGAAGCCAAATGCGATCCATGTTCTGGTTGTGTGCTCATGGAACTGCCAGGGGGACAATGTCCACAAGGAGATGAACGCCACATTCGACCTGTGCTGCTCGGAGACACTGTCTGAGGTGGGTGCGGTGGCTGCTCGACACACGGGCAAGGCATGGGCCCTCAGACCCTTCCTGGAACCCTACGTCAGTCGCCGGCCAATGCCCCGCACTCTTTTTCAGACATACATGCACGATGACCACCCGGGTCCCAAAAGCATGTGCCGGGAATTCCTGGCTGACTTCGAGCGCTCCTTCTGCAATGACGAGATTTTGCTCGAGACCCTTCAGGTGCACGCTGGAGACAGCGGAGAACACTTGATCAAAAGTCTGAGGCAGCCTGCTCACAAGGCTGATGTCTTCAGGTACGTCTACCACTACTATCATGGTGGCCTGTACCTTGATATCAAGATGGCGCTGCGAATGCCCTTCGATCAAATTTTAGGGCTCATCGCTTCAGAATGGGACAATGTCCAAGTTCGCAAGAGCAAAGAGCTGGGGCACTGCCCAAATGGAGTGGAAGGGGTTCTGCCCAGGGAGTACATGATCATGGGCATTGGGGTCAAAAATGACCACATTTTCCAGGGCATCATCTATGGACAACCGCGCCATCCCCTCATGCTCTGCGCTATCAATCACGCTTTCAGCAGGCAAATTCTTGCCTCGGTCGCCAACCTGGACTACATGATCTTCTGCAAGGAACTTTGGAAGCTCCTCACGCACGACATGGGCCACACCCCAGTGACAGGATGGAACCAGACCCGACAGTTCGGACCGGTGTATTTGCTCCGCGAGCGACATTCAGCTCAGCTCACCAAGTCCAAAGAGCTTGAGTCTGACGGTCACTACTTTGAGACCCGCGGTCAGGTTCGGGTAGCATTCACCCGCTGCTGGAGCTGGCGAAAAGGCTTCAAGGGCGACCCCAGGGCAGCTCAAAGAAATGAAAACTCTCTCATGCAGAGCGTGCCCCAAATCGTCTCGGAGGTCATTGAAGCCGGTGGCGCTGCCTCTGCAGCACCCCATTCAGCACAAGCGGGAGCAATGCTCACCAATGCAGGCGTCAGAGTTGTCGGCGAGACCGTGCTCAGCAGCCTCGAACGGGGTGATTTTGACGCGATCATGGCGGCGGTCGAGAAGGAGCCGCAGTACCACGGCATTTCGGCCGAGGCTGTCCTCCGCAACATCCCCCGAGGCCTCTGCCTTCACCCTGAAGATCCTGACTGGCTTTCCTGCCGCTACTGCGAGCGCGGCGGTCGGCGCTTGAAGTTCCCAAATGAGTTGGGAGTCACACACCACTTCATGCAATCCCGGCACGACCGATCAGTGCCCGAGCCACCAAGCCCCCCGCCTCGCAACAGCATGTGGTCGCAGCGCCCGGCCGAGCCTGCAAACCCTCCCTCAGCTGCAGCCATCGCAGCGTCAGGCCAGGCTCCACCACCACCAGAACCCACGGCGGACCGTCCGCCCCAGTGGAGACCCACAGCGTCGGTGTCTAAGGCACGCTTTGGGCTCGGCCTCCCTCCCATTCCGCCAGGTCCTACCCCACATGCGCAGGGCCACCGGCCTCTTGCAGTGAAACAAGAACAGGGGGTCAATGACCAACCGGCGGACATCAAGGATGAGAAACATGCCACTGCTGATCCCACGTTGGGATGGGCGGAAGACACTGTGGGCACGCCAGATACTCCGATGCTGCCGGCGAGCACACCGCAGTCACACAAGTCTGCTGGCTCTGGCCAGACAAGTGATCGGCCTTTCAACGCATTCTCAGCCCAGAATGTGACTCCGACAGCTGCCCCCACCGAGGAGACCGTCCCGCAGACCCCAGGCCCGGCTGACACCACATCATCCTCCCCTGTGGATGCCCCCTCTACGCGTGCAGAGGTCAAATACCAGGGACCGGTCACTACGACCAAGCTGGTGGAGTACAGTGTCAACCCCTCTCCAGAGCAAGAGGCAAATCAACTGCCAAAGCGAGATCAGATTATCCACATCTGCCAGTCTGACCAGATGCTGGAGTGGGTCCATGCCTTTGCGACCATTTCCATTATGAAGGAGCAGGCTATAGTGGGTGGCCTCACGGCCTCTGAGCAGGTCTACCTCTGGACCAATAGGTTTCGGGCACTGGGCAAGGTGCCATGGATCTTCGCCCCGATCAAGAAGGTCGCCACTGACAAGGATGCCAACTGGCTTGACATCACGCAAGCGCGGCTTATGGTCGGGGCCAATGGCCAATTCACATTATCCATTGGCCAAGATGATCGCTACACCGAGCTCAAGTCCACCACGACCTACTATGGCATAGTGCACGCCCTTTTTCAAAAAATGTGGGATCATCCGGACATGAGCGCATTGCTCGAAACGGATGACAACTTCGAGATCGTGGCCTCCACCTTCAAGTGCATCTATGACCAGTCCTCCAGGAAGAGTGGTGGCCAAAATCGCGCCATCTTCTACCAGCCTCGGGATGGTCACGTTGTCCGCAAGCTCCGTATCGAACACAACAAGGGCGACACGGCCACCTACCAATGGCATCGTCAACGCGAGCTACGTGAGCAGCGTGAACAGCGTGACAAGCGCTCTGGTGAAGAGACACAGTCTCACACAGACAAGCGCTACAGAGACGGCGATGCCTGGACCCGAGGAGGGTGGTGGAATCGTGGCTCGGACTCGGGGGCCAGTGGCAGCCGCTCCTGGCACCAGTGAGCTCCACCTTTGATCACCGGTGCCAATGGCAACCTATACAGTGAAATGAGGAGGCCATGCCTGCAATTCTACTTCGTTTCTTCCGGCACGTACTGACGGCCTTTCTGCTGATTGCCGCCGCTGTCAGAGAAAAACATGCCTCGCCTTCTGCCAGTCGCAGAACTGTGCCTCTGCAACTAGTGCTGCATAATCACTATCCTCGCTCAGGTACACACAACAATCTGAAGCTTGATGCCTGGCAGCCTACCAACTTGCTTCGGCTGATCCCTGCCAGTTAGCTTGAAGCCTGTAGGCCGCCAACACCCAAAGGTCTTCGACCAGGGCTGTTCAGCTATAGGGTCTGAGTCAGTTTCACACCATGTGAGTGCACCGCGGCAATCGCCCGCTATGTGCTGAGCCCGCTCGCACAGCGTTCAATTGAAAAAAATAGTAGTAGTAGCAGCAGCAGCAGCAGCAGTAGCCGTAGTAATAGTTGAAGCAGTTGTGGCTATATTCGTCGTTGTTGTCGCAGTGCTTGTGTGTTTCTGCGGCGGTGGAATCCGGCGGCGAAATGGCTTGGCCGCCAAGGCCTCGGGCGGCCCTGACATTGGCGCTGTTTCCAGAGTCGTGGGCTCGGACGGTTTCTGGGTTCAGTGTGAAGGATGACGGGAGGAGAGCTTATGAGGATTCAGCAGAATGTGGGATGAGCTTCAAAGGGGACAAGGAGGGACCCTTAATAAGGACCCCTAGGTTTATACCCTTAATATAGCCTTTATATACCCATTATATACCCATCATATAGCCCATTATAGGGTAGGGGTCCCCATTAAGGGTCCCTCCTATTCCCGTTTGAGAGCTTGGTCCGAAAGTTTTTGCTGATCGTTCAGCTGTGAATTCTGCAGGCTGGGGAGTGATGGGATGCTCAGGCCCTGTGCGGTTTGCTTTGGTCCGAAGGCAGGGCAATCACGACGACGACGACGACCACGACCAGGACGACCTCGACGACCACGATGACTACCACGACCGCGACACGACTCCCATGACCACGACGACGAAAACCGCGACCACCTCTTTCTGGAAGTTCTTGCGGGCTTTAGGAGGACGACGCCCGAGTACTTGTGAGGTTCAAAGCTGGATGGATGATTGACGAAGTTGGTTGGTTGATTGGTTGGTTAATTTGGCTGCTTTTGGTGTTGACCGACCAAGGTCCTCCTATGCAGAGTCCAAGCTGACTGCGGCTGCAAAGGGTGAGATGAAAGGCCGGATCAGAGCTTGACAGCGCCGTATTCTGGGAGATATTTGGGGTCCAGGATTTTGGGGCTGAGGGTGTAGGGAGACAGGGTTTAGGGCGGAGTTTCGGGACCCAACTAGGACTAGGAGTTTCAGACACCAGAGGTACCTTCCCTGTCAGCTCACATCATAAGATCCTCGTATTTGATGAGCTTTTAGTTTACCGTTCCCTAACTTTCTGAAGCCCCCGAATCGTCGTGAAGGTGGGCATAGTTCTTTGTGGCTGTTCGGCGAGCAAGTGGCCTTCTCCGGAGATGCTGTGAGTGCGCCCGCCTGGTCCATGCAGGGCTGAGGGTCTGTGGCTCCTGTCTCAGGGTCAAGGATGTAGGGTTTGGGGCTTAGGCCTAGAGGGATAGATTCCTCGTATGGTTCTTATGTCGTTTTAGCGTAAAGTATGCACCAAAACTCTTTTTCCAAACGTGGGTGTTGGGTGGTTTAGGAGGTACTGGAGAGCCGGGCTCAAGAAGGGGATGACTTTCGGTGGACATCCCTCTGGTGAATTAGTTTCGGCCAGCTGCTTCAAGTGAGCCACGGCTGTTCATTAGTCGAGATTTTTGCTTAATTTTCTTGTGTTCGCAAAGAAGTCACCACATGGGTTTTCGCAGACTTGAGGCTCTTATCCCCAAGCCCGTCAAAAAGACCGTCGATTTGCCCAGGGCAGGAGCGGAAGGCGGATGGGGGACTCCAAGCCCAGGCGGATGTGAGAGCGCTGAAGACCTTGCAAGGGGTTTGGGACGCTTAGAGCTTAGGGTGCAGAGCTCGTCGACCGTCGGGCTTAAGGGGCGGAGGCTTTTGGTGGCTTCGTGGGATTGAAGGCCTGGAGGTCATTCGAATATGGAGGTCTTCAGCAGATCCAGGGAGTGGAGGGTGTCTGGTTGTAAAGACAGGAGTCTGGGAGGTGGAAGTAGTGCTGGTAGTGACCAGGCACGAAAATAAGCCGCCAGGTTCTGCTGATAGAGAAATCCTCGGGCGACAAGCTGGCTGACCGGCCCTCGGCCGTGGGAGCTTCCCCGGTGTAGCTTATGAGAGCTGCGCTTGATTCAGGCTACGACGCACTTTCGGGCGTGTCCCTCAAAGGGCAGCTCGGCAGACGTGGCCTTGCCTTTGCAAGGGCGACTCCACTGAGGTGCCGACGGCCGGTGAGCGTCAGGAGGCTCTCTGGTTCGGCCCCCAGCTTCAAGCATCATGCTTACCAGTCATCGCATTTCTGACGGCCTCAGAGCCCGCTCTGACATCTTCCGAGGTCCAGAGCGACCTTCAGCACAAGGCCCCGGTACCTCTATGACATTGCTGCACACGATGCCATGTGCATGGGAAGCTCGCTTTGCCGACTTGCATGGCATTCGATCACTCCTGTACATCAAGTCTGCCACCTTTCCTTCGTACGTAGCTGGGGGTGGGTAGCTGGCTAGCTGCCTGCTCCTTACAACTCACCTGCCTAGATAGCTTTCTTTGGCAAGAGATACCTCCGTAACTTGAATTCATAGCTGACGACCAGCGAACGAACGAAATAATTACCTAGATACTAGCTGACAAAATAACTGACGAGCTAAGTTGCCAACGAACTAACTCATTAGCTAGCGAGCTGGCCAGCTGGCGAGCTAGCTCGTTAGCTAGCCAGCTGGCTAACTAACTGACCATCTAACCAACCAACTAGCTGGCTGGCTGGATGACTGACTGACCGACCACTGACCGACCGACCAATCGCAGATAGGTAAACCGAAAACACAAACACACACACACACACACAAACTTGTATGTGCACGTTTGTGTGCATGCGTGCCTGTGTCTGTGTATGTGCCCGTGTATGTGCATGTGCAGTTGCATGTGCATGTAACTAGGTATGTACCACGTATGTATGCATGCATGCATGCATGCATGCATGCATGCATGCATGCACATGCGTGTCCTGTATTACGTGACATAGCATGAGCTTGAGCCAGCAGGCGAGTTGGCCATCTGTGTGTGGCAGCCGGATGGGCCGAAGCCTTGGGGCTCTTGGGGCTTGGACCCGAAGGCTTGTGAGGGCTGGAGTCTGGAGTGTATTCGAGCATGTCCAGGGGGTTCACTGGTTGGCACGATTGTAGCGCCAGCTGCGAACCACTAGCACGCGCAGCGCAACGAGTAACATCCATCATCAGCAGTGTTTGGATCACCGCTGCAATTGTTTTGACAAGTACGTTGCAGGCCAGTGTCATTCAGATCCTGCTCTTGTTTTGTAGCTGTATGTCCGATATGAATGCAGCTGTGGCCGCGGTAGCCACCTGGCTGCAGCAGCAGATAGCAGCCTCAGGTGTCAGTTGCAATCACGTAATGGTCAGCGTCTTCATGATGCGACAGCCTTGAACAGCAAGGAGAAGAGGAGCTACGGACTTCTTGTTTGTAGTCAGCAACTCCTGGCCTGCGTTTGATTGATCTTGACACGCAGCCATCTTACTTTCAATCGCCAGTTGCAGTGTTTGCTCTCCAAATGCGGCGGAAACGAGGCAGGGACATGCAGGGACAAGGGGCCTGCCCTGTAATGTGAGAACGGAGAGCTTTTTCACCGCGAGGGCTTCACATGCAAAGGTGTGGGCTCCCGAGCGGTGCCGGGCTGGCTTTGCCTGCGAGAGTCTCAGTTTGAGTCGTTCAGGACCGGGAGCTCCCAGTAAGATTGAACTCATGATGCTCCCCCGGTCCGCAGTCCTCGTCACGATTCCCGTTCTGACCTAAGTCAATTCCTTATAACGTTCCCGTTCCCTTCCCTTCTCCTCTCCGTCTCGTCGGAGCCTTCAGGTCTGCGCTGGTTCTTGCCTGGACTGCCCTGCCCGAGTCCGTGCCATTGGCGCTGCCCTCTGCTCGTCCTGTGGCCAAGAAGAAGGTGGTTGTCATCGGTGGCTTGGATGCGCTTGGTTCGAGAACTCTGCAACGCTCCACCTGCCATCTCCCTCATCAGAAGAATGCCCACAATCGACTCTAGCAGGGGCCCCAGTAAGTGTAGCAGCAGCACGATTCTTGGTTTTACTGACGTGGCATTCGCATGGTGTTAAAATGATATTCTCCGGAGATTCCCAGATTCGCACGTTTCCGGAGAGTATCCACTGCCTCCCTCCGTCACGACGGTGTTTGGCGCAACAGCAGACTGATGACCTTTAGAGGAGCGAGGAACATAGAAAGACATGGGCTGAGCTCCTTTGAGACACCTCGAGAAACTGTGAATGCCTCGTTGCCTGCACTCTTGCCTTGGCCCCAAACAGCACGCCCCAAAAGCATAGACACACGCCCAGTCTGAACAACCCCAAACAACCCTAAACCATGTAAAGCCATCTCCAGCTCGCTTTTGCTCGCAGGTGGAGGCTTCGCTGGGCTGGCCGCCGTCCGGCGGCTTCGCCGGGACTTTGAAGTTACGTTGGTGGATGCCAAGGAGTGACCTGGAAGAAGGCAAAAGAAAGTACCAATCGTAAAGCATAAGATTATCACGACAGCTAGCTCTGTGGAGCTTGCAGGAGTTGTCGCTTAACAGTTCACGTAAGTAGTGGTGACCTCAGGTCAAAGTCGTGCCCAGGACTTTATCTGGACCTTTCACCCCCTCAAGAGGGCTCATAGGTTTTGTTTCATGAGCTGCCCAGGTTCTTCGAGTTTTCTCCCGGGATGATCCGGCCGTATACGCAGCCACAGCTCTACGGGAGGCTGGTGCTGGACTACAGGAGCTTGTGCAACAAGATGAAGGCGCCCGCGTCGCTTTGCACTATCGGGGATGCAGGGCGCCAGCTTCGGGAGGCCTAAGGTTGGTTAGTCTATACCTAGTCTGCGAGTTGAGGTCGGGGTCTAGGGTTTTTAAGTAGTGGTGAAGGTGTCCTGGATTTGGGGAGCCGCGAAGAAGATCGACGAGAAGGAGGCCCAGCAATCAAAATGTCCTGGTTTTGCAGAGGGTCTGAGAGCCGGAGCCGTCGCAAGACATGTGCGCGCATCATGAAAGCTACATCCGAAACTAACCCTGGACTATATAGGAACCTCAGGCTGCTATGTGAGTGCCAGGTGGTGGTTCAGCTCAGCAACACTACTACGAAGAATGCACAGCTGCTGGCGCTGCCGTATGACCCTCGACAGCAGCATCATTGTTAACGATGGTGTTGCCCTGAACCTGGAGCGGCATGGAAGCTGAGATCTTGGCATCTTGAACGCGGCAGGCTGTATGGAATATCGCATCACTCATCAGATCCATACTGTTCGTCATTATCAGCCAGCAACAGTAAACCAAATATGAACAACTAAACCGCCATGCTCTGGGGACTGTCTCAGGATTACTGTATCATCTCTGCGGGCTGCCACTACAGCAGCAACCTCTGGTACGCTTCGCTTCTTGGGACCCAGGGGTTCACAACGACCTTTCACCCTCGAACCTAACCCCGAACCCTAAACCCTAAATCCTAAACCCTAAACCCTAAACCCGAACATTAAACCCTAAATCCCCATTAAATAAGCTCGATAAACCCTTGAGCCGAAGCCCGAATCGCTCATGAACGCGGCGATTTTGGGTTTCTTCGAGTTTCAGGGATCTTAGGGTTTGCAGAAAAAGGGTTCAGGGTTGCGGGTTTAGGGTTTCGGGTTCTTCAGGTTTGGGCTTTCACGGCTAGGGCTTCAGGTTCTGGTGATACAAGAAGTCTTCAAGGTTTCGGCCTGGCCTGCGCAAGCACAGCAAACCCGAAACCCTGCAACCCAGACCATGGCAGGAAAGATCGTGAGCGCAGTCTCGAGGGTCGGCGGGAGCGAATCGACAGCGAGCCTCGAACGCAAGGGGCTTTTCATGTGTTGCCGCCTAGTTTCAGGCAGAGCAACATAGCAACAGCACCGTTTGTTTGACGAAAGCTGTCGCAATAGCACAAGCATCACGGTGCCAGGAAGACGAAGAGATAGAAGAGGGTGCGAGTTCAAGCATTGCCTTGGTACTTAGGAGCACGCGAAACTGTCGGAGCTCGCCGCTAGGGGTGCCCACGTCGCAGTGATCGGTGCCGGTTATGTCGGTGTGCCTCAGTGAATTTTAGAGCGATCGGGGCATCATGCGGCCTCTCCACCAACAGTAGCATATGTAAGATAATACAGTAATAATCCTAGTAGTCATACTTAAGCACAATACAACTAGCAGTAATTCGTGGCTCAGTAGCTTTTGATGCCCTGGTCCGGTCCTCAGGTCGAGTACGCAGCCGAGCTGCGCTACTACTACCCCACACTTCAGATAACTCTGGTGGGCGGCAACAGAGGCGTTTGCCCATCCATGTGTCCTGGTGCCCGGAAGTATATCAAGAATCACCTGGACAAGAACAACATTACGACCTTCAGAAGCAGTCGAGGGTGGAAGGTTGTTTCAGGTTTGGCAGGTCAACACATTTTCGTTTTTGGGCTTCTGGGTTGGATGGTTGGGCCGCAGCCACGGGCCTGGGCTCCCAGGTTGGACGGCTGGGCCGCGGATAAGGGCTCCCTGCTCCCTTCATGTTTCCTTTTTGGGCTCCTGGTTGGATGGCTGGGCCGCGGCAAAGGGCCTTTGGACTCCGTTCATGTTTCCTTTCTGGGCTCCTGGGTTGGACGGCTGGGCCGCACAAGGGCCTGGGCTCCCTTCATGTTTCCATTTTGGGCTCCTGGGTTGGACAGCTGGGCCGCGCGCAAAGGGCTGGGCTCCCATCAAATTTTCTTCTGGGTTGGATGGCTGGGCCGCGGCAAAGGGCCTGGGCTCCCACTGGGCTCCCTTCATGTTTCCTTTCTGGGCTCCTGGGTTGGACGGTTGGGCCGCATGAGTGGCCCCCACAAACAAAACCTTTTGGTCACGGCATTCTTTTTTCCAAAAAAGAACGCTTCTTTCTCGTGCGGATGTCATCACTCCAACACGTTCCAACTTGAACCTGCAAGAAGGAGCATACTCGGTGCAACTATGAGTGCGCACCACAAACAAAACTTGTTGGTCACGGCGTTTTTCCAAAAAAAGAACGCTTCTTTCTCGTGCGGATGTCATCTCTACCCATTCTTCTTGTGCACAAAAATAGTCCATATGTGTAAACATTTGTTTCGCAGCGTCTGCTTGCGAAGCCAGATTGGGTTTCAACACGTTCCAACTTGAACCTGCAAGAAGGAGCATACTCGGTGCAACTATGAGTGCCCACCACAAACAAAGCTTTTTGGTCACGGCGTGCTTTTTCAAAAAAAGAACGCTTCCTTCTCGTGTGGATGTCATCATTACCCGTTCTTTTTTTGCACAAAATAGTCCACGTGTCTAAACATTTGTTTCGCAGCGTCTGCTTACGAAGCCAGATTGGGTTTCAACACGTTCCAACTTGAACCTGCAAGAAGGAGCATATTCGGTGCAACTATGACTGCCCACCACAAACAAAACCTTCTGTTCACGGCGTTCTTTTTCCAAAAAAGAACGCTTCCTTCTCGTGCGAATGTCATCACTACCTATTCTTTTTTTGCACCAAAATAGTCCATATGTCTACGCATTTTTTCGCAGCATCTGCTTGTGAAGCCAGGTTGGGTTCCAACACGTTCCACCTTGAACCTGCATGACTCGATGCATTCTGTTTGGGGTCTACGCTGGTGTAATTTTCTTTAATGTCGCCCTGATCGTTCTTTCTCCGCCGCGTGCGGGCCTCTTGTGCCGACACCTCCCTGCGCTTTGCCGTTACGCCGAGTTGTTGTTTGCCTTGCTGAACTCAGGACCATCAGTGGAACACGCTACTCCGAAGCAAATTCCACGCTCTTCTGGAAGAAGGTCGGCAGATCGCCACCGGAACGCGTCTTCAAGAGTGTTGGCATGCAGCCGTGCCTCGCACCCCATATATGCAATCTTGCAGCCAGCTGTTGGCAAAATTTGGTTGATGATGATGCTGGTGCTGATAAGAAGCAGACAACGAAGACATCCAGGTCAAGATAGGGGTGATTTGAATGAGAGGCGATTCGAGCACTCTTTACAGCGACGGTGTTGAAAGCCAAGCGGAACAGCAAACGGGAATCCTCGCAGTATCAATGATGCGCGTTGCAAATGAGAGGACTGGTAATGATGTTGCAAATGGCAGTCGTGACCGTGCTGACACCCATAATGTGCATCTTCTATAGCGTGACAGGTTTGAATTCTAGTAGCTATGACATTCATGGCCTGGACATTACTAGCCATCATTCTGACAATGATGATGGCAACGACCGAATTCGCTACAAGTCTGTTGATGGCAAGGCCGCTTCTCATGGTGGTGATGGTGATGACGACGACGGTAAGAACAACGATGAACCAAATGAAACAGGCTGCGAAGGAACCTGGCAATGACCGTCGCTTAAAGACAAAACGACGAACTTAGGATTTGAAAGAAGGTGAACATCCAGAGTAACGGTGAGATGAGCAAGCGAAGGCAAGACAGACATAGGACCTGCTGCTTCTTCCGCTGCCGCCCCCCCTCCGACTACTGCAGGTCACTGTCGTGTTGAGAAGCTTGAGAGGAATACTAAATCTGGAAAGGAGTCTCTTGCAGTCTCCGCCCAGGCACTGTGAGTTCTTGCCTTCGGCATGCCTGAGTAGCAAGGGCTGGGTCAAAGTGACTCCGAGCCTGGGCACAGGATGTTGCCGTTGGGTTTGGGGTCAAGGATCATCGGTTTAAGCGACTTGGGTTCTCAATTCCAACAGGTGCTTTGGCTGCGATCGTTAAGCCGATGCTAAGGGCGAGAAAGCCTGGACGGCAAGACATGGTGGATGCGGTGATGATGGTGCTGATACTGATGCCGAGGATCTTGCTTGCCGACGATGATGATGGTGACGGCGATGGTGATGATGGTGGTGATGATGATGATGATGATAAAGATCATAGCGATGATGTCAGGATGTGGATGAGAATGGACGTCGGAACGAAGACAGTCAAAGTGAGGGTAACCAACTGTGAGGAATGTTGCATTGAGTCGAGATTTTCGTCTTTAGTTTCCGATGCTCACTATCCCTGTCCTGACCCCGACAGCAGAAATTGAGCCTTTCTCCAAGGACACTGCAGGTGGTGAGCCGCAGTGACAGCGACCCGCAGGCTGGAGCTGCCTCGCTATGATGAGATGTTGGATTTCTTCGGGCTTGTGTGTTAATCCTCATTTGCACGCTACTGTAAGCTGCCAGGCAAGTTAGATTTGTTTCATGTTGTCACGCTCATCGTGGATGCCGTGTAGCCCGGTGTTAGCTAAAGGTCATCGTCCTAAGCCACATGTGCTTGACCCCTGCAAGGACTCCCTGTTCGCTTCCGGGAAAGTTTTTGCAGTTGGCAATTGCGCGGACGACGTGTGCCGGCTCGGGATGCAAGTTGAGGGAGTTACAACACCCGGAGACTCCATGCTGTGAAGCCATTTAAAGTCGAAAGCCTGCAAAGACCCAGACTCGCAGCACTAAGATGCTTAAAGCCGACAGCCCAATCACCAGGGTCTCTAGAGCAGCCTAAATGCAAACCATCGGGTGCAGATGGGTGGTCGTACAGTCTTTGTCCTTCGTTCCACGGTCGGCAAGGGCCGAATCGACAATCGACAGAGGGTCTGGTGCCTGCGTGTTTGTGTCCGCTCAGCCGTAGAACTTGTCAATCGCAATGCCGGGGCAGGAGCTGCTTGAAGCAACATGACGACTCCTTTCGAAACGGTTCACAGGCTACCACACTGTTATTGCGCCCCGTTGTTCCACATGTTTTTGGGCGGCTGTGTTGCACTCGTGCTAGGGATTGGATTAAGCGTCGTGTTGGCCCTCCGCCCAGACTCGACTGCCCATCTCCTTCTGCTAGAAACCGAGGCCAGCCTCAGACCTAGGAAACAAGCAGGAGATCCGTCTCAACCGCAAGTCTGGATCGACAAGCACGGTAGTTGAACATGTGAAGCCACAGGAAAGCCCTCCATCGCAAGAGTCGACCGAACTCCGAAATGAAGCCCTTTTCAGCTGTCTGCACTGCCGAGAAGGTTCCAGGAATTCTCCCACTACCGAAGAACTCCTATCCGGCGGAAGAGATGGCAGCCCATGCAGTGAGATTGCCGGCTGCAGCTACGGCACTGGTTCTTTCTTGCAAGCCCCGAGGGCTCCGTAGACTTGCGGTGCCGGTAACAGGAACTCTTTGGGGGAGGTCAGGTCAGCTCCAGAGCCCTGCTACCGGAGAGCCACTGAGGAAACATACGCCGTTCCGAGAAGAACAGGCCGCTGAAACCCTTGCATTGGGCCTGGCCTTCCAGCGTTTGTGCAACCAGTCTCGGTTGGGAGCTCAGTGTGACCCAGTCTTCAAAGCAGATGATATGTGATGTGGCGGAAGTGTGTAAGTGTGTGTGCGTGCGCGCGCGGGGGTGTGTGTGTGTGTGTGTGAATCCCTGATAGCAAAGGGCTTCTTTTGAGCAAAAGCAGGGGGGTACGGCTCTCTGATGCTACCGTACCCAACGAAGCTATGCATCAGAGAGGGAAGCCAAGCCTGATCAGCTTGGTGTACCTGCGACTGAGATGGCAACCAGGCCAAGCCAAAAAACCTGGCATGACGAGTGTAAGAATGTAAATCGCTCTAGCTACTCCCACCATGGAGTTTGCAAGTGTGTTTCCGACCGGCATTCTGTCAAAGGGCCGGGCGTAGCAACTGCTTGACGTCTTGAATGCACAGTTCCAGACATTGAATGCCTTTCTTGATCCGCAGCCATCTGATTGCATCTGCAGATCGTTTGAATGCTTCTCTGACTTTTCAACCTGATTCACATCTTGAATGCTCAATTGAATGCCCGATTGAATGATCGATTGAACGTTCTTTTCGGACTGCTGTTGTGATTCCTTTGACGCTCCGGACATCACTCACATCCAAGCATGTCTTGGACTCAGGAAGAATGGGATTCGTGGAAAAACGGAACCTGGGGCAAACAGCCTCCTCCGGTACCGTCCACACCTCCCAATGCTCCAAAAGCCAAGGAGTTTGGAAGTCCTCAGGGCCCTTCCAACCACTATGACACTGATCTTCCTCGTACGTTTCATAGCGACCGCAACTTTTATGATACCAACGAGGTGTATGGATTACAGTTCCCTCGCCAAATACAGGCATCCAGCTGGGCTCAAAAGCACCAGCTCGCTGGCAGGGATCTTACTTCCATTAAGTTGCATGAAGTTTGTTGGCAAGGATGGAACAACTTTTCTCTTCGAAGCCTGGCCCAAGGCCGGTATACGAGCATCCTTTTTGCTCGATCCATCAAAGAAGCCACATTCATGTCGTTTATGATGCAGAAGTTCCGGGAAAACAAAATGGACCTGGATCAATGTGCTTCGGTGTACTGTGAACAACAAAGCATCCATATTGATGCCACTGAAGCTGAATCTGCTCAAAAAAGTGCCAAAATGCGGCACCTTTGTGAATTCATTTTTGATCAGTGTAAAGACTTCCAGCAAAAGGAGCTATGCGATGCCCAGGACCGCATCCGCGAGCTCGAGAAGCAACTTGTTGCGGCTCAGAAAGGGGCCCCAGCAACTGGATCCACGGTGAAACCTGGACCCAAGAGGACATCGGATGCCAGTCAAAGTAGTGAGAATTCCCGGAAACGTAGGCTGCCTATTGCCAGCCAAACCGAGAATGAGCCGACGAAGTCGACTCAAGCCCTTCTTGAAAAAGCCTTTGATCCTCATTTCCCAGCACAGCGGGTTCTTGATACTCAAGCTCCTGTAACTGCTGTTCCCCAATCCACAACAAAGTGGATCCAGAATTTGAACCTGGAGCCCAAGCTCAAACAAGAGCTTCTGCAAAGCTGCAAAGCGGCTAATACTACTATGAAATCACTTTCGGATGAAGACAAGGAAGCTCTACCACAAAGAGCTGCAGATTTTGGTTTCCCTGTTCGCTCCTTAAATGGAGCCAAGGAAGCTGACCTTTTGAAGATTGTTTTGGCTGCTTGTGCTCTGGCCTCTTGACTCGAGGACCAGAAGCAAGATCTCGAACTCAACAGTGACAGCCGACAAAGGATGCAAACAATCCTTTCTATGGCAAAAACATGCCTACAGGCTGCCATCTTTGAGCCAGAATTCATGCCTTGGCGTTTTGGGTTTCGGGTGTTGGGTGCTTTTGTGGTGTTGCTTCTTCTTCTTCTTCGCCAAACAGGCACAGGAAAACTGGCTCGCTGGCGCCAACGATTTCAAGAATTTGAAGGATTTCACGATCTCAACTTTATTTCTGCGACTTCGGTCGCACGCATGTTTCTCGAGCCCTTCGCGGCTTACATCTTGATAACTGCTCAAATCGAGCCTTTTTTCCAACTCGGACCTGGCTTTTATGTTGGATCCACAACTGTTTCAATTCAGAAGAGACAAGATACTCGTCTTCGAAAGCTTCGACAGCTGCTGGACTTGAAACCAGTCCATGCCGAGCTCGTTTTACACTGGCAAGTTTCGCATCAATGCCTCGGACAACTTATTGTCCTTCCCCTGGCTGTCATGCAATCCCTTCGCCAAATTCGTACACTTGAACTTACTCTGATTCAGCGATGGAATCCATCCCTGAATTACCCGTTCATCCTGAAAAAACGGATGACCAAAGTGGGTCCAGATTACTCGTGTACAATTCGACGGATCGCTTCATCCTACAATGTTCCTGGCCGGCGTCTGCACAAGAAATTACGTGCCAGACTACATAAGCTAGGAGCTCTATCTTTGTATAGTCCTGTCAAACAGGAAGTACATTCTTCATGGATGATTTTAACGATTCTGGCAGAAAGATCCCTCGCTTCTTTCAACATGGAGCGACGCCTACGGTCTTGCTCATATTCGCTGCCACACGTGTATGCCTTGTTCAGGCTCACGAACAATTTGGAAGAACCTCCCAAAAGCCTGGTGCAAAGCATCCTGCTTCGAGTGCTGACTTTTAAAGGCGGCCATGCTCCGCCAAAAGCACGCCCTGTGAAGATTCCATTATTGTCCAACAGTGATTTCCGGGACGCCACCAAGAAGTGGTTGAAGATGAGAATTTTACCGTTTAAGGATTTCTTGATTCCTTTTCACCTTCCCCCTTGCAATGTCGTTTCCGCTGCCCATTCATCGCTGGGCACCATGCTGACGAACCACCATGCCATGATGGCACAGTTTTCTTGGGATTGTCCACCACTCTGTCGGTGTGCCGAATTCCGGCAAAAACACCCGGATGTGGTTGGCGTGGTACATCCTCAAGATGGGCAATGGCATGTTGCCTCGCCCCTGGACAAGATTTCTGTTTCCAGAAGACTGCGGTGTTTGCTTGGCACAAGTGCGAAAACACAGGTATATCCTGCTCGCACTTCTTTCATCAAAGACACTTGGAAAGAGGTACAACGGTGGGCCAAGCGTCACTTCGTACCCAATGTGGTTTTTTCTGACTGGGAGCGGTTTGTCTGTGATCAATGGTCACAACACATCGAAAACAGCAAAACTCCACTTTCCTTTGACGATGTGAAGTACATCAAGTCTGTCATTGATGGCTTCGTGGTGCAAGGCCGAGACCATGCACCCCATCACCTTCATATCTTCTGCCCTCTTTTCTACTGGCATATACTTCGCAGCACCTTTGGCGATGAAGAAGTCTACCTGCCGTCTCTTTTGACTCCCAACCAAGCCAAAGCCTTTCTCGGAAATTTAACGACAAAGGCCTGGCTAAAACATTACAAATGGGGGATGCAGGAGAATGCGAAGCTACCCTGCTCGTACCTTCTTCTGAAACAACAGAAGCAGTGTCTTGGTGCCAGACCAATCATTTCGTATCGACATTTTGCTTTTGGCCGTCTTTTCCAGGCAGCTAGCAGTGTTCTCAACATTCTGCTGCCAGTGGTGTTTCCTCAAAGCTATGGCCATCAATCTTTGCCCCAAATTTTCCAGGGCTTGCATCAATTTCTGTCCAATGCCGACGAAGATATTGAGCTCAAAGAGTTCAATCAAGACTTGGTGGGCTTTTTTACAAGCTTGCCCACCACGCAAATCATGGAAGCGGTGGATCACTTGATTGATTCCTATGCTGCTTTACAATCCACACCTTTTGCCAAGATCAAATTTACTGTACAGCTTGGGGCTTCTGAGCCACGATTACGGATTTTTCAAGGCAGCTACAAGCGCCAGAAATCAAGGACCGGCGTCATCTATTTAAAAGATCTGTCGGCCATCTGTCAGCTTTCACTCGAGACATCCTTCTTTTCGCAGATGGGACGAATTTTTAAACAGACAAGAGGATCTGCCATTGGCAACCAGATCTCCCCTTCTCTGGCCAATGTTGCAGTCTCGTACAAAGAACATCAGTGGTCCATTTCCAATCGTCTGGCTTTGGAAGCCTTGCGATCAGAAGTCTATAGTCGAACTTGAGGCGGTACTTGATGGTGAGTTCCTGGGAACCACTTTAAATCCCAAAGCTCGCACTCTTGAGTACAGACAACCAACCGCCCGACATCAATTTCGACCTTTCAATACGGCAGGCACTGATGCACACAAGCTATCAGCTGCCTATGCCAGGATTTGTTTGGCGAGCCGAACAGCTTTTCCTTTTTCCCAAGCCAAAGCTGATGTACAGACTCTTATTCGGACGTACACCAATTTTGGTTACGATCCTCAGCTTCTGGAAAAAGCCGGGGCATCCTTCCTCGAGCAAAGGAGATCCTCCTGAGAAAAACATGCTGCACTGCAGAATGCAAGTGCTGTTTTCGACGGTTACGTTGCCACTTCATGATGTCATGCGTTACAGATTGGCTCTGAACCTTTCCAGTTCTTGTGCCTCCTTTTTCGCGATGTCGTCCGTCTTCAATTTCTTTGCTGGTACACCCAATCAAGGGGAGGAAAATCCTCCTAGGAGTTCTACCCAGCGTGCAATTCGAGCGAGATCGGACGATGAAGGGCCTCGCCGGCACCATCGTCACAGACGACACCACCGGCACCGATCACGCAGTCGACAAGATCGACGACCACTGGAACAAGCACCAGTGACTGAGGGCCCAAGACAACCTGATCTTCGCCCTTCACCGAGACCCAGAAATAAACCGCCCGGTGATTGGACTTTTACAGCTGAAGGAACCCCTTATCGGGGATCACCTCATCATGTACAGCCTGAGCCTCCTATCCCTCCTCCGAGGGCAAAATCGGCTCCAGCTGCTCGAGTTTCTCCTTCAGTGTCTTCCTCTGCTTCTGGTGTTCCTCCCGGAAATTGGTATGGTGAACCTGCACCACCACCGGGTCAATGGGTACCTCGGTTTTCGGGGCAGTGGCAACCACAGCCTCCACAGCACCGAGTGCCACCTCCTGGTTTTCTTTCATCGGCGACCAAACCTACTGGTCCATTGTCTGAACCCCGCCAGGCACCTACACGTGAGCCGAGGACTTCAAAAGTCCCTCCCGCTCCAGATTTCACTAAGGAAACAGGCGAAAGACCTGTCGATTTTTCTCAGGCTCCGGTGACCCCTCCCAAGTCGCCACCAAAAGTGCCAAGAGGTACCAAAGGTACCCAAGGGAAGCGGTCGGAGAAGCCCGACCAGCATGGCAAGCCTTCAACTCCCAACCCGCCAGTTCAAAAAACAGCGGATGAAATGTTGGATGAGGAGATTCGAAAATCGAATGCTCAATCGTCCACTTTTGAACAAGAAGCTCAGGATTTAGAGCAGCCCTTCATTGATGCGTTTAATGCCACTTGAAGTGAGCTGATACAACAAAGTGGCATGGCGGAGAGTTATGAGACTTTTGAGTCCAAAGACCCTCTCACGCCTTTCCTTGCCTATGTGCTGTTCCTTTTGCATTATCGCAACAATCTGTTTCCGGACTCCTGGCTGATTTTTAAACATTCTGAGATGCGAGAAATTCGCGATCGGAAACGGGCCACCATCGCTTACTGCAAACCTTGGTCTTCCATTTCCAACTCTGATGTTGATGGAGTTTGCCTGGAGCTACTGGGGCTGTTTCAAGAAGCTCCACCGCCTCTGTCGATGAACAGTGGCATTTTTCGTACATTTGCTAAAGCTTTGATTTCTGCCAAGCTCAAGGTGGGCAAACATTTCAAGCCCACGGCAAAGAGCTACCATATGGCTAGCTGCAACAGCAAGTTGTACCTGTTTGAGGTTCAGTCTTTTCCTGGGCCGGAACCCGTAGGGCAAACAAGCCTGGCGTGGGCTCACTGCTCAGACGTTCCGGGATCCTGTGGAATATTAGCAGCTGGTCGACTGATTCGAACAGCTGCTTACACCCTTGGTCTCCGAGATGACCAGGAGTCCATGTCCTTTTTCGGTCGGTGCCACACAAATCCTTCGTGGACCGAGAACTTTATTGAACGGGCTGCCAACCTCAATTGGAGTACTAAGAACTCCTCTGGCATTGTGTTCGGCGGTTTTTTAAGTGGACAGTTCATAAAAAGTCCATCTGCCAACACACTCCTTGAGAACTCCATGTGTCGGCTTCACCCAGCCGTACACTCAATTTCCAAGGATAAAAGATGGGCCGTCAGAGAGTCAGCTGCTCGCATCGATTTCATTATTGTTGTGGCAGATCAAGACTCTGCTGATTTTCCTGCTCCGGCCATGCTTCCAATGATTGCTGATCGAATCAATCAAAGAAGCATTCAGGATACCGAAGCTTGGGGAGGATGGGCTGGATAATCGCCTGTCCCAATGCTGAATTCAAACAACGGCAATACAAGGTGTACTGCCTGCCTCTGTCTTTTTTCTTTTTCTGGGTGTATGTACATCCTTAGCTGCAGCCGCTCAAGTTTGTGGTGGATCGGTTTGAGACCGCCTCAGCCATGTTGCCAGCTGCAACTTCGCCTGTTTCGTCGGCTTCTTCGTGGCATTCTGCGTTTGATCCTCCTGAGGAAGCTCGTTCTTCCCGCGAGCCGAAGAAAAGTCTCAAAGACGAAGCTTCTCGCAAGAAAAGCAAGAAGCACAAGTCCAAGAAATCCAAAAAGATTTCAAAAGACAAGGACCAAGCAGTTGTGAAACATTCTGCTGCTGCCAAAGAAGAGATAACCACCTCCCGTGTTGTAACAACCGGTGACGTGGTACTTGATGCCATTTGCAACAGCAAACTTGTTTCATCCTCTACTGGAGCCAACACCACGGTGTACAAAGGTAGAGGAGTAGCCAAGATGATGGCTCGAAGCGGTTTTAGGTGTACATGCCATTATGTGCGTGCCCACCTTTGTCCAGTCAGGCTCATTGCCGAAGAATTCGGTGATGGGACGTCTTTTCACACTCCTGAGTAAAGCCCTTTACAGCTTTCTCTCCTCATGTCAGAAAAGAAGAACGTTTCTGTACAGCTTTTTCCTGTGCCGAAAACCTGCGACATTCTTTCATGAACTGCAGGCTGCCTCGGCTTCATTCAGTAAACCATTCTCTCCAAAAGCCACATGTCGGCCCTTTCGTTGGTTGTGTCCGAACCTGCCCTTGTGGCGAGAGTGGTATCTTTTGTCTCATCGCGAAAGCACATCTTCTTCTTCTACTTCAATCCGGCCTTTTGGACCGAAGAAGATCGCGATCAACTTGAGCTTGATGATTCTTCTGAATCAGATGAGCCTTATCCGGACAGTGCGGCTCGTGTCATTTCTGATCGCATACGTCAACGTTTTCGCTCTGTGCTACCTGCTGATACTTCACTCGCGCTTGGTAGCCTCAATTATGGTTCCATTCGCGAACATTTTGTACAAAGGGAGTGCCCAGCACAGCCACCTGGTTGGCCCAATGTACTTTATGTACCTGTAATGTACAACTCGGCACCAATGCCACAGAGCACCTTTTATGGTGCGGTAAACCGAGTCTTCCTTCGTTCTGTTCTTTATCTCTATGAAGGGACACTGTACATTGCTTTTCGGCAATTGCTGCTGCAATCTCAGCAGAAAGCCATCTTTTTCGATTGGCTCTGCACCGGTCGCGAAGATCGTTTTCGCGTGAGCTCCACTCTCATCGCCGATTTGAGGGTGTTCCGTGTCATTTCACCTTTGACTGACATGCCATAATCATCCTGCTGCAGCGAAGCGGAAAAACGTTTGCTGCTTTCGGTTTTTCAATCTTTTATCTGCGATCCAGTGTTTTAAGTCCTGGCTCTCAGAGAAATTCGCCATGGCTGATCGCAGTCGATCTCGTTCTCCAACCATTTCATGGCGATACTACTGGACCAATTCCATTGCCGCTGACGGCTCTTCTTTTTGGTGGAAGAATTGGTTTCCAGCCACACAAAACTGGATCCAAAATCGCCTTGCTGCCGATGCCCGGGGCATGCAAAGCCTCCAAGGTTCTCCGACGTCTGATTCGTCTGAGACAAAGATTGAACCGGCAGCATCCAGTCCAGCTCGGAAGCGAAAACGAGATGGTTCTCCCTGAGAGTCCATTTTAATTCGTGCATGTTGCCAACACGTTGGCCAGTTGAGAGCGACTTTTGTACAGGTTTTTTGCCACAAGTCTTTCACTACTCCTCACAGAGGAGTAGCTGTGTGTGTGAATCCCTGATAGCAAAGGGCTTCTTTTGAGCAAAAGCAGGGGGGTACGGCTCTCTGATGCTACCGTACCCAACGAAGCTATGCATCAGAGAGGGAAGCCAAGCCTGATCAGCTTGGTGTACCTGCGACTGAGATGGCAACCAGGCCAAGCCAAAAAACCTGGCATGACGAATGTAAGAATGTAAATCGCTCTAGCTACTCCCACCATGGAGTTTGCAAGTGTGTGTGTTTGTGTGTGTGGGACTGTATAGCAAAGGGAGCAACCAGATACATGAGTGACACATACAGAACCATAGGTGCATCAGTAAGTAGGCAAGTACGTAGACACGCATCCGTCCGTCCATCCATCCATCCAGCCATCCATCTATCCATACGCGTCCATGCGATGCATGTCCGTGTGTACGCAGCTACGTGGGTACTTGCAGGTAAAGTAGGTAGGTACAATCGGTGTTTGTGCGAATCGAAGATCTCCTAACCCATGAGACTACTGGAGCCGCTGAGGGCCCAAAGATGGCGTGCTTTTGATGAATCAAAAGCTGCCGGGATCTGGATTTGTCGCCCTGCGTGGACGGACTGTCGTCTGGCTGAAGGAGATCATCCGCTGGAGCAAAGTCGTTGCTTGGCACAGCCACCGAATGTCTTGGCTTTGACTTCAGGGATGCATGGGGCACCACATTGTACCGTGCGCTGTAACCTGCCTTCAGAGCTGAGGATGAGTGTCGAATGGGGCTCTTTGGCACCCTGATCTGGCGCTTCATCCACTGAGCCGACAGGACCCTCGTAGGCTGGACTGCTTGACGCGGATCAAGGACCAAGTCGAAGGTGGTGATGACGTGCTGGAGGTGGCACATTCTACTCTTTGAAGGTGATCCGGGCGTGCCGCCTCGGAGAAGCAAGCGGAGATCCTCATCGTGGACAGCTGATCCGGTAGCGACGCCTCACAGCCCTTGCTGCTGCAGCATGGAGGCATGCTCGAGGGAAACACTTGGCTTGTTGTCCTACTCGCACTGACTTGAGCAAATTCAGAAGAAGGTGGTGAGTGATGGTGAACACTATGCTGATGGTGACAACAACATGATGTGTACGATAGACATGATGCTGATGGCGATCACGACGGTCATGGTCATCTTTGTGCTGTTGTGTTGGGCCCAAGTCTTCAAGTCAAGTCCTGCACCAAGGTCGGCTCGGAGCTGGTCGGATGGCTGTCGCAAGAGGCAGGATCGCTCGTGGTAAGCCTTTGCCTATTCGAGTCTTCTTACTTGTCCGATCAGGTCCTTCGAAGGGCCAGCTTTGGCTACTTTGCTGAGTCTTCCCTGTTTGCCCATGTGCAGATAAGCCCAAGCCCAAGCCCGTGCAGCCGGCGGCCGAGGCAAGTGGGACTGGATTGCGGAGACATTGGATGCGCCTCGGCCCATCCCAGCTCAACCGTTTGCATCGAAAGTGATTGCAGCAATGCAGTGAGCACAAGCCCAAAGTCTGAGGCAATGGGACAGAGTGAGGTGTATGACGTGGGCAGTGGTAGCTACGATCAGGAGGGCCGTTGCCTCCTCGCCACTTGCAAGAACTCTGAGGGTCGGGAGTGGGTTCGTAGGCCGGATTTGCCTAAACATTGTCGTCATTCCTGCCTCATGCAATCACTGATGTAGGGTTCTCGTGCGGTCCAGGGCCTGGCATGCAGTGAAGAGAACATCGGGGATGCAGGTTTCCGTCGAAGGATCCCAAACCCGGTCCCTACATCCACAACCATTCAAACAAGACTACGACTACCACTCGGGCTGCTGCTATTTGCGTTTGCTGGCTGCGTTTACTTCTATGTCGCTGGTTCTGCTGACTACTCCTACTCCTGCTCCTGCTCCTGCTCCTCCTACTCCTACTCCTACTCCTACTCCGACTCCTACTCCTACTCCTACTCCTACTCCTACTCCTACTCCAAAACCTACCCCTACCCCTACCCCTACCCCTACTGCTGCTGTTTCTCCGACGATGACGATGACGACGACGGATCATGACGGTGATGACAACGGTGACGATGATGACGACAACAACATGTCCAATGGCGACAGATTCCGATCCTGCAAGTAGAGCGCAAACAACGGTAGCACCATCGCGAAGAGTGGATTGATTTCTTCACACACCACCCTGAGCTCTTCAGAGCTTCGGCCGCCAAACCCACCGATGCACTGAAGGGCTGGTGACGCTACTGAGGACTACGCGGCCATGACCGTCCTTGCAGAACCCAAGGCGGCCAAGGCAGGAATTAAGTAGTTGGGGTCATTCGGCTTTCGGGCATTCTTTTAAGGCTAGTTCAGGGTTTCGGGAGTGTTCAAGACTTCTGTGTCAGTTTCGTGGTGCCTGCAAACCGTCGATGGATCGGAAAAGTTCCAGTCTGCTCAGCCCTGAACTCTACATGCTGCTACACGGATTCGTGCTCTAAGACTCAGATCAGGTCTATCATCAGCCATGGCTCGTAGACAAAAGCAATTGTCAAAGCGACTCTAAGCCGCCTAAGCCTTTAAGCCTTAAACCCTCAAAATCCTTGCTCCGAAAAAACACGCCCCAAATCAGCCTAACTTTTGAGGTCCTCCACAGGCTTCTGGATGCCGGCATCCGTCCGAGGGTCGACAATGCTGGAGCCTCAAGAAGCGTGGTGCTCGTTTTCGTTGCGGTGGAAAGACTTGAATTTGAGCAATTGTAGTATCTGATACCTGATAGCCTGCTCCATACATAAGTCTAGTTACCTTGCAAAGGGCTCTATATACTTATCTCTGGAGTGGCAGGGAGGCTTATGGGGGTTGAGGGCTGGCTGATGATGTGCGGCCTGCACCCAGGAGGGCCTCACGGCACTCCACTATGCGGCCTTTGCCGGGTCAGGCGATGCAGTGGCCATCCCAGCGAAAGCTGCGGTTGAGGGACTCTGTCTGCGTGCTTCTGTGAGATGAGTTGTGCTTACTTTATCTGTTGCTGTCTTGGCCGGGCTCGGCTTCGAATGTCACAGTTATCCCTTCAAGACGCAAAGCCATAGTCGAGAAGCTTGCAACAAGCAGCATCCAAAGCAAGTTTGAAGATCCTAACTCAGGCCTGAAAGACCTTCAAATCCTCCTCCTTCGGGTTGCAGACTGAGGTCACCGCGCTTTTACGAGCAAAGGCATGTTGCGATGCCAAAGCCCATGGAGGCCGCAGCAGCATCGCGGGAGGGGGCTTTTGGGTTTGTGGTGTCAGGTACTCGTCTTTGGGTTGTTGGAAGGATTGCTCAGGGTTCCACTGTTGGGGGGGGGGGGGGGGTTCGGGTCTGCAGAGCTGCTTCCCTATCATGCTTTCCCGGGATGGTTAGGGACCCCTAACCTTTGTCCGAAATGCTTGCTCGTAAACCCTGCAGTCTGAACCCTGCAAGCACAGTTCGAGGGAATGCCAACTCCTTTGGCTCAGGAATCACTCCGCTGATGCTCGCAGCGCCGGGGAGCCCCGGTAGAGTGCCAAAGAGCTCAAGATTCGAGCTGTCGATGTTGTTGCCCTGAAGTCTTGAACGAGGCCCTATGAACTTAAGCCCCCTAAACCAGCTGTAAGTCTCCGTTACTCCTATTCACATATCCGGCCTGGTGTCTTCTGAAGCCCTCCGGTCCCCGCAGCAAGAGTGGAGTTGTTGCGGCTGAGAGTTCGGGTCCAACAACATTTAGACTTCGAGTCTTGGGGGTCGAGAGCGAAGAAGCCTTCCCACCGAAGCCCCAAAGCCGTCGCAAATGATCTACATTGTCATTAATTAAGCTACCATCTACTTTTTGGGGTTTGCGCCCCTGTAGTTTCAAAACCCGGGGTTTAGGAAGAGCCGACCAAACAGTAGGTTCTGGGTAAGCTTAGTTAGAAGATTCCAAGAGATTCAGGCTTGCTGGCAGTCTGTCTTGCGCACGGCTGCTCTGGGAGAGCGGCGCAGACGTGGCGAGCGTCGACGAGCAAGGCAAATCTTGGGATTTTTGCTTCAACGTTAGGGCCAGAGTGTACGGCCCAGGTTTAACTCGGGTTTGGGGCCAGTGGCCAGGCTGACATCTCAACATGGCGAGACAATGGCACACAATCCCGAGTGGCGCTAGCATTCTCCATGATTCTTGGTCGACCTACCTGGCTTCCCGATGGTCCTCGCAAGAGCGTACTCGCTTTGAGATTCTGCGGCCGTCTGCAAGTCTCTGCTGTGGTGAGTTTACCTTGTTCACAATACTCTGCAGGCTCTGCAGGGAGCCTGAATGTCGAACAACTAAACCCCAAACACGGCGGCCTGCGCCCCAGCCCCAACCTAAACCCATTATGAGGAGCGTTGGGCGCCAATTGCAAACTCCCGTCAGGTCAGACAGCGGCAACCTGGGTGTGTGCCTGCCCGAGGTTGAGGGACTTCAGCGCAGCCTCTGTCTTCATACTGACATACTGTTTATCGTCACATCACCATCATCGTCACCACAAGAACAAGAATTCTGGAGGGCTGTGTTTGATTGTTCCTTCCAATCGTCCTGCCTTCGGCTTTTTGCCATGAAATCATAGCAGAGTTGGCAGTTGTTCGTTCTTGCTTGGGCCCTTGCATGTTCTCGCCTTCCCTTCGAGGCGAAATGGTTGGCAGTGCTGAGAAGTGTACGCATACTGGGCGGAGCTGTTGATGTTTGACAGGTCTTTCAAACTGTTCCATGCTGGAAACCCTAACACTCGACCGCCCCTCCTCCAAAGCGCCTTTGATTTTGTGTCAGGCCCCCCAACCCTGGACCCATCTAGACCCTACGCCCGAAAACCCCAAAGCCTCGAGCCCAGACCCTGAACCCCAAACCTTTAACCCTGAACCCCTTCATTCTGGTCCTTACATGATAACCTTCAGGCCTGGGTTGTGGCGAGCCTCCTTCGCGAAGTGGTCGCCACCGGCTCCTGAACAATGGGTGGCTCCCTGAGCTGGCCGGGTGTTTTCAATGGCTAGTCTAGAGGGTCTAGGGTGTTGTGTAGAAAGCACAAGCCGGTCATGCGTGTTCTTGTTGGGAGGGATGATGCTGGTGGTGGCAGTGGTACCATCATCATCATCATCATCGTCATCATCATCATCATCTTTATGCCCACCATCCCCATCATCATCATCATCATCATCAACAACAGCATCACCGTCATCACCACCCTCACCCTCACCCTCACCATCAGCATCACCATCCCCATCACAAGCACCACCAATATCATCATCATCATCATCATCAACATCATCACCATCATCATCATCATCTTCATCTTCATCATCATCATCATCATCATCTTCATAATCACCGTCATCGTTCTTTGCATCATACTCTAACTCACCACCACCACCACCACCACCACCACCACCACCACCACCACCACCACCACCACCACCACCACCACCACCACCACCACCACCACCACCACCACCACCACCACCACCACCACCACCACCACCACCACCACCACCACCACCACCACCACCACCACCACCACCACCACCACCACCACCACCACCACCACCACCACCACCACCACCACCACCACCACCACCACCACCACCACCACCACCACCACCACCACCACCATCAGCATGGCGTCAGCATCAGCATGTCATCTTCATCGCCATCATCAAAAACCATGCCATGATCACCGCTATCATTGTCGTCATCACCGTCGTGAATCGTCAGTGTCATCGTCTTGGTCATCATCACCATCATCATGATCATCCTCGTCGTCGTCGTCGTAGTCGTCGTAGTCATCAAGAGCCACAAATGCCCAAGCCGAATGTGATGGGTGCAGACCCTAGGGAGATAAGGGGGCCAGACAGGCCTAGACAGCTTTCTTTCTTTTCCATGTTCTAGGCCCGAAGAGATCAAGTCCATGGGCGGCATCAGCCGCACACCCAGGTTGCAGGAGTGCGTTTGAGCTGTCCAATGTCATGGTTGAAGAACTGAAGCAGTAGAGGAGCCGATCCCTCTCTACTTGGGGCACAATAGATTTTTCGGAGTCCCATAGGGACTGCTTTGCTGTATTTACATTAAGATCAAACACATGTACATACATACATACATCTCTCTCTCTATGTATATTTCTAGCTTGTACAACATGCTACACAAAGATACATACATACATACATACGTACATGCGTACATACGTACATACACATACACACACACACACATACACACGCACGCGCACGTGCACACATCGCGACAAATATTGCAAGCTGTGTCATTTGTTCGGTCGTTCGTCGGTCTTGGCATAGTCTCGCACCTTATTTCGATGGTCATATTCGCTGGCGCTCATGGCTGTCCGATGTCTCTATATCTAGGATATGAACAGTCTCTATGCTCATCTCAGTGCACACGCATCCCTTTGCATCTCGCCATCTGCGTTGTTTTCATGCATCTCTCTGCAGGCATGTACTTGTAGATGTGTAATTGGCTAGGCAAATCAACATACAATGGAATGCAGCTTCGCTTGGTATACTGTGTTGCAGGCCAACATGACGCGCGGGTACACACTGTGATCGCGTGGGCGCACAAAGCATGCTACACCACAATGACGAAACTCAGTCCTGCACCGGTTGACGGTTTCTAGGATGTTTTCTCAAATTACTCCCAGAACCCTAACTCCTAAAAAACCAACCCTCATGCAAACTTAAAACGGCCCTCAAGAAAAGAATCAGCCTCTGTTCTGGGTTCGGAAACTGCTCAACTGCATAGGCTGAGAGAGTCTTCCCTTGTGAACTCCGCCCTGAACCCTCCTCCCGAAGCTCTCGGGTGTGCTAGGTGTAGCGCTGTGTGGGGTTCAGGGTTCTCGGTTTTAGGGTTTGGGGTTTTTTGGGGTTTAAGGGTTTGGGTTCAGTTTTAGGCTTAACGGCTGAAGGGTTTCAGGATTTAGGGTTTCAAGCCTCCCATACTATTTTGGGGGCTCCTTGTCAAAGTTATAGTACAATATACCCCAAAACCCTATTCTAATCATGAAGGCCCCTATAGTTATAGTATAATATCCCAAAGCGTTATCCTAATTATGAAGGCACCAAAAGTAGGGTTTTCATCTCAGGCAGCGGGCTCCACGAGGCGCTTGACAGGCGCCGGCCGCACGAAGCCGAGCATCTGACTTTCTATACGGCTACTTTTGGGGGGTTCTACAGCGGTTTGTAGATGGGCTCCATTCTTCGACTACTAGGAGATTCTACATGGGGCTCAATAAGTGTTCTTTTTCATGGGGGTTGCATGGGGTCTTCTGAGGTGAGCTGAAGCATAGGTGTGCTGGTGGGGGTGGGTTTGTGGTTTCAGCTTGCTTTTTCAAGTCTAGTGACACGGAAGTTCAAGAAGACGGCAGCTGCCGGAAGCTCGTGGCTCCCACTAAGAGTCGAAGGGCCAGCAAAGCCCCCCGAAGCCCTGGCGCTCCGCTCGTGGGGAGTTAAGGCCCGGCATGGCTGAGCCTTGGGGGGGCCCAGATCGTCGTGAGCTGCTGGGAGACTTGGTGCAGACCTCAGTTGCGCCCCTTGCGGCGCGGGCGGGGGCTGTCCGCGAACGTGGGTCTTCGAGGTTGACGGTGCCGCTTCCAGGGCTTCTTTGCTAGCTTTATCGGGTTTCGGACTGCAGGCAGAACCAAGAGAGCCTAGATCAGGGTCTTGAGGAGGTTGGGACGAAGGGACAAAGGCTGGAGGCTGGATATTCGATCCTCGACTTCTTCCTCAAACCGGCAAACTCTCGACACACTCATCCCAAGTCATCCAACCCTTGACCTTAAGCCAATATTCCCCAGCCCAAGCCGAGCACACTCCCTACAATCCCACCTGAACCATAAACGCCAAGCCCGCCGAATCCTTTAAACCGAGAAACCGCGACAACCCGAAGCCTAACACCCGAAACCCCCAAAGCCTACAAGGCGGCCAGTATGCCAAAGAATCCGCATACACACCAGAACCGTCAGAATTCTAGAATAAAGAACCCTCAGAAAGCCCTTCTAGAGGTAGAAGGACCCTCTGAGGAGCCCTTCTTCTTCACAGGTGGATCGCCTCTGTGCAGCGCCCTCCTTCGATGGCCCAGCGTCCCCTAGTGGGGCCCAGGCCGCCCAGCAGTGGATGCCGGGACCCTGGCTTTTGGGGTTCGGAGCGACTTGGGGTTTGGGGGGTTAGGGGTTTGGGTGCTGCACAGTCCCTATCCCTACCACCACACACCACTGATCACAGCAACGGGGGCATCGTCGTCGCCGTCTGTTTGCATGTCTGCCCTTTGATGTGTTGTCTTAAACCATCTAGACCATCCGAGGCCCATTCTGCGCGAGGCATCCAAACCTGGCCCGGTTCGTCCCTGGCTCGGCGACATTGCTAGATCGGGGCTTTCCGTGTGGTTTTGCTCGGATACGATTGTGCTGTTTTGCGGATACGGGATGTGGGGGGGAAGCTAGTGAGCAACAGTAGTGCAGCAACAGCATCAAGCAGCGTGCTAGTGACTGTGGCTTGGACACTCTGATTCTTGCTCTTGCATTGTCGGGTTTCGTCAAGCCTCGGGCATTGAAAAAGCCCTTACCGAACCCATATAGAACCCGTCAACACTACGCAACACGAGTAGACCGTTTACATTGCGTCTCAGAAGGTCAGAAGGCCGAGAGGGATGGCCAGGCCAGGTCACCGGAAGTCAGTGTCCCGTTTCTCAGGCTGCGGCTGTTTTGCGGAGCTGTACGTACGATTACGCCGAAGTCAAGGCTACCTGCTGGAACGGCTTTTAGAGCTTCAGGGTGGCCTTCGTAAGGTGCAGGGAGATGGCTTTTATTCTGAGGCTTTGGGATTTTGAGCTGTGGGGCCGTCAATTGTCCTGCCCCAACAGTGCTTTGTGCCAGGTCTCGCAATCCCGTTGTTGGGAGCAGTTCTCTGCAGCGCCATTCACCAGGGCCGATATTGGGGAGCATGCGGCTCAGAGCTTGATTGCATTTCTCCGATCACACTCAGCCTGCTCGTTGATTTGCTTGTAGAATCGACACCTCCGAGGAGCAGCTCTGCCGGATGCTTCTGCGAGAAGCTGTTGACCTACCGGCCCCGTCCTCACAATGCTTCTTCCAGATGTGGTTTATCTGCAGGAGGTGTCCCACCGCGAAGCAGTTGTGACCAGCTGCCAAAACCATGATCGTGTTTTCATGACGGAAACATCCATTCTGCATGCAGTGCAGCGTTGGGGCAAGCGATGTCATGCTGAGGTCACCGGCAGGCTACCTGATGGGCGATCCATCGTGGAGAAGGCAAGAGCCGCTTTCCCGTCTCCCGTCAGCACTCCACAGATGGCAAAGCAGGCCCTCGATCTTGGCTGGGACGATGTTGCGCTGCTGCTCTTTGCCCAGACCTCGGATGAATGGGCTCAAGGGTTGTTTTGCCCAAGAGTTGGAAGACAGTGTCAAAACGCTGTCGGAATATGCCAGACAGCCAACCGGGGCCGTTCCCTTCCCCGAAGTGGGTTCTGGGTTGGAGTCTGGAGTGTGTGGCCCCAAGCCCATGAAGATCAAGCCATGTCAGGACCGTGGTGCCTCACTGGATAGCGATCTGGCCGCGCAGGCTCCCACCCATGTCGAGGGTCGAATAAGAAGCCTGAGTAATTACCAATTTTATCGACATTCCTTGGATTCTGCAGATTCCCTAGGGTCCTGCATTCTAGCTAAACTGCAACATAACCCAAAACCCTATTCTGATCACTAGGCCCCTGTTTTGCGTATCTCATTTCTGGGTCACTTTGTGTGAATGGATGCTTGTGGATCCCATACAAGAGGCTGTGAAGCCGGCTGGAAACCCCGAACTTTGCTGGGAACCAGTCCGAGCCTTGCCAGGCACGGGCGCTGCGTGCAGCGGTCGAAGGCGCCCGGATGGAAGATGCTATAATGTTGGGACCATCACCTACTATTTTGCGGGATGTGGGGTCAGGTAAACACTTGACCCAACCCCGTTGTTAGTGTTGTTGCCAGTGTGGTTATTCTAAGTTTCAAGGGTATCTTAATTGGGATATCGTGGCTCTTGTTTCTGCGTCCTGGTTGCAGGGTGCATGTCGTTTAGGTCAGGGCTTCACCCGAGTCCTCGCAGACAGTTCCCTCCCTGCCTTTTCTTAAAGCTTGTATAGGCCGGAAAGGTGCAAACCATTGTGTACGATATGTGTATTCATAGTACAGGGCAGTTCAAGCTCTTGTCCTCCGTATCCGAGACAACGTCACTAGCCTCGGAACCCAAAGCTGAGGTGGGCATCGCGAATTGGCCAAGCGCCTGATAGGCCAGCAATTGCGAGAAATGCTGTGGCTGAGTATGAAGAACTAGCGGTTACGGGGCCGTGCAGGGTGCAGAACGTTGAATTCCTGGGATGGACAGCTCATCAGGGTTTGGGCTGAGTGTGTGTGTGTGTGTGCGCGTCCGTCCAAGGTTTGGCTTCTTATGTTGGAATCTCCAGGTAAAAACCAAATCCTGCAATTCCAAAGCCTGTTCGGAGGTGTCCCCTCCTTTCTGGGTATGTTGCTATCTTGATTCGAGGGGATGCAAGGCGGTGGCCTCAAACGACAATGGTTCCGAAAGCTCCAGACGAGTAGCTACTACTACTACTACTACTACTACTACTACTACTACTACTACTACTCCTACTCCTACTGCTACTGCTACTGCTACTGCTCCTGCTCCTGCTCCTGCTCCTGCTCCTGCTCCTGCTCCTGCTGCTGCTGCTGCTGCTGCTACTGCTACTGCTACTGCTACTGCTACTGCTACTGCTACTGCTACTACTGCTACAACAACAACTACTACAACAGCTACTACGACGACAACGACAAATACTACTACTCCTACTGCTACTGCTATTGCTACTGCGACTGCGACTGCTACTGCCACTGCTACTGCTGCTGCTGCTGCGACAGCTACAGCTACTGCTACTGCTACTGCCGCTACTGCTACTCCACTATCACGACGAATGCACCACCACCTGCTCCTGCTAAGCACCCGATCACTGATTACCTGGTCAGGGCAGTGGGCCGAGGAGCGTGACGCTTGGGCACGGCCAGCCGCACCGGAGGTTCCCGGGGGCAGAGGTTAGGACGTTTTGGTTTTCGGCTGTTTCTCAAAGCTAAGGACTTTAAGCTGTCACTCCAAGGTCTGCTCATTCAGTATTTGACCCAAGCCTCCCAAAACTTAACACTTTGAGCCCAAGACCCGACAGCACCGCATACAGTTAATTGCTTGAAATGCTTCCAGGCGGAGGGATTGGCAGAATGTCCAGTGTGCTTCAGAGCACTCTGTCTCGTCCTTACCATTCGTGCAGCTGCAGGGACGTTTGCACACTTCGACGATGACGATGATGATCCGCCAGTGAAGGACGAAGACCAGAACGGTGGCAATGGTGACACTGGCGATGACGACACGGGTGAAAATGGATGATTGTGATGACAATGTCGATGACGATGACACACATTGTGATGATGGCGTTGTTGATAATAGTGCTGGTGAATGGTCAGCATCGCCATAGTCATCATCAGAATAACCACCCATATCATCATCACCATCGTCACCATCATCACCATCATCGCCATCATCGCCATCATCGCCATCATCGCCACCATCATCACCAGCGCCTTCTGGGTCTTCGCCATCACCATCATTGCGATCACCGCCATCAGCACCATCACCACCATCCTCATCATTGTCGTCATCGTAGTCATCATCATCTCCACCATCATCATCACCATCACCAACATCATCACCATCATCATCATCATCACCATCATTTTCGACACCGCCGCCTGCTTCGCATCGTCATCATTAGACTTCCTTGTGCCCTTGCTATGTCTGTCGCTGAGGTGAAGGAGGGCCTGCAGCACTCGTGGATGCTAGTGGCCGCAGCAGCCCTGGGACACTCGCAGGGATCATTGCCTCGCTGAAGTGCGACGAGGGCTGCATTGATCTCAGGCCGCACGTGCGGACACTTTCTGTGTACAGCCTGCGCAACAGAGCTCTCTCTGCAATCGACCAGCCGCAGCCTCGGGTACCTGCGCTGTGGCTTGCAAATATGAACCCCCTCTATATTGCACCACGGTAACATGTTCGTCTGTAAATTCGACTCAGGTCCCCGGTGTCCAGTTTGCCGCCAGACCTTCCAGCCGCCACCTCACCGCCCCCCGGACCCACGTGAGGCCGGGTCGAGGCTAGAGGGAAGCAAGTGTGCCTCAGAACAGAAACGATAATTCGAGACTTTCTACATAAGCACAAGCATCTACAGGAGAAGATATCTGTTCAGCTTGTTCGTCCACAGGATCCGGCAGCTTGGTTCGCCTTCTTCGACGAAGAGGGCTCCGGGTACCTCGAACGACAGCTCCTGGAGAAGGCTGGGGAGCTCATCGTTTGGGTTGTACGGGTTAGGTTTGCTACAGCGCCATCTGCGCTGCAGGGCGAGTCTCCATAAAGAGAGCTTCCCTGATACTGGCGTCCTAATTAATGGTTTCGGTTTGATTGTCCGATGTCTTCGAGAGTTTCTCTGTGATGATTGGCAGTAGGAGCTGCAGGCACCCAGAGACACACGATGTTTGGTCCATTCACGAAAGCATGGGTGCCAGCTGCATCTACGATTCCACAGCACATCAAAGATCAGGGATTCGAAGGCTTCTTCAGCTCCCGCATTGTTTTGTCTTATCTGTCTTGATAATCAAGAGCAGCAAGTTGAAGGCGTCATCGTCACCGGGAAAGGAGGTGATATCCATCAAGCTCTCAGCTGCAAGCCATCTCAGGTGTTGCCAGCAGTGGTCCCGGTGGATGCAGCAAAGTTAGAGGCAGGAGAGAACCTCCAGAGCTGCACTCAAACCAAGACACTGCTAAACCCGTAAGGGAGGAACGACCCCTGCTGGCTCTTTCGGAAGCAGGACATCGATCCATGGTGTTGGGCCGTGTAGCTTCCCAGAGGTCCTTTGTTTCGAGCTATCGTCGCCATATCGAAAGTGGTGCATCGCAGCTGTAGCGGCCGCGGACTATCAATGTCCTCTCCAAAGCCACGACAAACAGTTGCTTTCCTGCGGACAGGCTTCCCTGCGCGGCTCTCTGTGGCGTGAATGGGACCGCGCTCCTTGATGCGTGCTTTGCCAAAGCAGGTTAGGCAGCTACAAGTTGCAAGGGTCTTACTCAAGGTGGTTCAGAGGTTGACACGCAACCAACGATAAGGGCCCGACCACAGGTCGGCACTCTCAGGAGCCTCTTAAATTTTCCTGAGGATGCTGAGAAATCCCAAGGAGACTCTCAAACCCTGAATATCGGCAGCCCGCAAACAGCTCCTCAAGTCCGGATGGAAAAATAGGAGTAGCAATACTAGCAGTAGTAGCACTAACAACAACAACAACAACAACAACAACAACAACAACAACAACAACAACAACAACAACAACAACAACAACAACAACAACAACAACAACAACAACAACAACAACAACAACAACAACAACAACAACAACAACAACAACAACAACAACAACAAAAACAACAACAACAACAACAACCACAACAACCACAACAACAAACAACAACAAACAACAACAAACAACAACAAACAACAACAAACAACAACAAACAACAACAATAAACAACAATAAACAACAACAAACAACAACAAACAACAACAAACAACAACAAACAACAACAAACAACAACAAACAACAACAAACAACAACAAACAACAACAAACAACAACAAACAACAACAAACAACAACAAACAACAACAACAACAACAACAACAACAACAACAACAACAACAACAACAACAACAACAACAACAACAACAACAACAACAACAACAACAACAACAACAACAACCACCACAACAACAACAACAACAACAACAACAACAACAACAACAACAACAACAACAACAACAACAACAACAACAACAACAACAACAACAACAAACAACAACAAACAACAACAAACAACAACAAACAACAACAAACAACAACAAACAACAACAAACAACAACAAACAACAACAAACAACAACAAACAACAACAAACAACAACAAACAACAACAACAACAACAACAACAACAACAACAACAACAACAACAACAACAACAACAGCAACAGCAACAGCAACAACAGCAACAACAACAACAACAACAGCACGTGTCCTTGAGCTGTCAGCAGGACCCGGCCGGGGAGGGCCGGATCTCGCGTAAGGCCTTCTGTGCGGAACGAGGGCTGCTGCGCTGCTCTCAGTGCGAGGTACGAAGAGTCTTGACAGCAGAGTGACACTCCCAAGAGAAGACAAGTGATGAGAAGACTATATCCTGACAAGAACAAACGCTCACATGACACCAAAGGCCACAATGACCCGCCAATTCGGTCACGCAGCCCTCCCGAAAGCTTTTGGTCTTGAGGCGGTGGCTGGCGGAGCACCTCGTGGAACTCAACGAAGAGCGCGAAAAAGGGCTGAGCCCTCAGGAGCTCGCGCGAGGAAGCAAGAGCCGAGAGCCCCTGCTAAACCCAAGCCGGAACCGAGGCCACCGCCCCCTTTGGATCAAGATCGCCTGACTCTCTGAGAAGTGTGCCTGTGATCTCGGGTTGAAGTTTCGGTCTGCGATTTCAATTGAAACCTTAAACCCTACTCGAAACCCTACACCCTGTACCAGGCCAAGGGAGGAGTCCAAGATTTGCTTCCTGGGAGCTTCAAGGTATTTCGGGTGTCAAGGTTTGCTGGAGCCCGGGATGCTAAAGCAGCTGGGTGAAGTCTCTTCTGTGAGTAATTAATGCTTTCAGGTCTCAATTGAAGGCTCCTGGCGCTTCTTTCGTGCCGCGGGAACTGAAACCATCGATCTCAGGTTCCGAGGCCTGGAAGCCTAAGCTTGAAGTTGCCGGCGTTAGGTTTGTCGGAGGTTTGGCTTCTGGGGTTGCTTCTGGCTGCAGGCTTGCTTTATACATTCTACGTGTGTATCAGTTTAAGTATTCTTAATATGTACAGGTATATGTGTATGTGTTTGTATAGGTACAGGTACAGGTAGAGGTATATGTATATGGATATAGTACAGATACATATGTACACATGTATATATGTGTATAGTATATCTCTATATATGCATATATATATATATATATACACACACATAGATATGTAGACAGATATGTATGTATGTATGTATGTATGTATGTATGTATGTATTTACATTTCCCAGTAGACCCGATGCATCATGTGGGCTCTAAGGCGAAGGATGGCAGCTGCCCCAGAGCCTGCAGATGTGCTGTCTTTCCGGGAACCATAGCTTTGGGGTGCAGGCGAATCATATGTAGACCCCAGGCCCTCAGACCTGAGTCAAGGACTGTAAGTTGCTCATGCTTCTTGGTAGTGCCCGCCCCAGAGCCTGAGCTCGGTGACTGGGGCTGTTTGGGACTCGGGAGTCTCAATTGGGAGTTCAGAGCACAATCCCGCGAGACTTCAGGCCTTGGATGCTCGGCCGCAGCTCCCCCGCTTCACCTGAATCCCAAAGTCCGAAGTCCCAAATTCTCCCGTCGTCTTGCGAGCTCTTGGCGGGGTCGACGAGGTTCCGGCATTGGGCTACGGCTGGGACCACTGGCATGGGCAAGGCGGTGTGAACGTGATTTACAGGCACTAGTACTTTTCACCACACAGGCTTTGCAAGAAATGAAAGCCAAAATCTAGGTCCTGCCAGAAGCCAAAGCCGATCGTGCGCAGGCGGAAGTGCTGCGTGCCGCCAGGCTCTTAGTTCAAAAGGTGGCGCAGTTTGCTTGCTGGCAGAGATTCTGTTAGTCTCCTAATTACGGCAGCGATGTAGGTACTACGGCCATAAAGTCTTGCTAGTCTTTCCAGGAGCTGCTGCTGTGTCGACGACACCCTCTACCATTGCTACTAACTAGCGACGATAAACTACGAACAACGGACTATTTGTACTGATGCGACGAGGAGATGCAAACCATATTTCCTGCTGCTCTTTACCAGGAGACGAGGAGAGACGGTTCGTTGTCGAGGTGCTCAAATCCTGTGGGACTTCGTCACTGGAAGCCTCCGCAGTGGCTGCCAGCCGAAAGCCCAGACATGTCTGGAATTTGAGGAGGACACCGACAGTGGAAAAACCGATGTTCCGGTTCTATTTGGGCATTGGTTGCTTCAGCAAATGACTGTGGCATGCCACAATCGTGGTCATGATCATGATCATCATCTGCCTTGGTCAAAGATGGTTGTGTGAAATGGAGGGAGCAGGCCTGCACAGCTTGTTGCCTCAGTTGCTGACTGGGTTGCTGACTGGGTTTGGCCGATGGCTGTCGTGCATCAGGTCGCGAGTGGATTGAGCGATGCTGGATGCTGTGGGCTGCGGGCTCAGTGGATGTGACTGCCCACAGACACAGTCCTCGTTTTCCACCCGCACTCCCAATCATCCTGAGTCCTAAGCGGATGGCTACCCCACCAATTATCACAGAGCTCCCAGCTTCAAGCCTGACCACCTCCAACACTTCACTCGCCAGGATCGAGACAAAAGCGGGCGCATCTCCTTGAAGGAGGGCTTCCTTTAATGGCTTCTTCAAGGTTTTATACGCGTTCAGGGTTTCCGGCTTCAGCGTGTATGGAGCCTCGATGTTGGGGTTGGCCGCAGATCTAGGCCAGGTTCCAACAGAGCCTGAGAGGCCCTCCTCAATATGCAGTCTGCATCCTATGATTACTATTACCATTATTACCATTGTAACTATTGTTACTTTTATTACGATTATTACTATGATTACTATTCTTACATACTAGTAGTATTCCTACAGCAGAGGTTCCTTGCTTATTCACCAAGGCCTTTTTCTAGCCATGAACATGCCAAAGGCTCCACCCTCTTGCCGCAGGCCCATGCCAGGCTCTCGAAGCGCCAGATTCTTGTTCATAACTGTAAGCAATACCCTAAGGCTCCATAGTAGTTCCTTTTTAGGGTTCATATTTAGAATCCTATAAGGTAACCCCAAAAAGGAACTACTTTGGAGCCTCTGGGTAGTTGCAATAGTAGTTACGCTAGCAACTGTGACGATGATGATAGTCGCGCGAGGAGTTCTGCGCAGAGGGTGGCTTAGCTGTCGTCTCCTCAGCCGGGTTTTGGCCCACAGGGTTGGGGGTTTAAGGGTTTGGAGTTTAGGGATCTCAACATAGGAGCTGGGATTGGGGGTAGAACAAAGAAGGGTCAGGGGAATTTGTGCGCAACGGGGCTGCAGGTACAAGCTTGGGTTTCGAATGGATGTTTTTCATTGATTGCAGGCGAGTAGCCACACAGAGTGCCTTGCCGTGCCCATCCCGCAAGATGGAGTCACGATTGTGATGTGCCCGAAATAGCCACAATTAGCATAGCTAGTATCCCACTCCTCCCTCCACTCCTGCTCCTCGCACTCCAACTCTCGCTCCCGCTCCCACCACCACCGTTCGAAAGACAAGGACTGGGATGAAACTTCCGAACTTCTCAGGACATGATGTTGCAGCAAAGCACCCTAGCGGCGGCGAAGCGCGTGGTGCGAAGGATGGAGTCGGCCTCTTGGTGGGGCGGGGTGGGGATTTTGCAGGGTGATGTCGAGGGTTTCTGGCTGGGACAAGGCAGCCCTTGTACTGATTCGCAAGATCGAACCCCCAAGGTTGGAGGTCCACGACCCTGCAGCTCTGGTCGCGTGTTGCCAGCAGCTGGTGGAGTGTGCTGTGGGCATTCGCCCGGAGGCGCCCAACAGGGCTTGGGAGATGTCTACAAGAGCCAAAATACTGCTGGAAACCCTACTCCTCACGACTCACAACAGCCCTCAAAACTGTAGTTACAGACCAGAAACACACCGCCTCCAAGCCCTAAGCTTTAACCTTAAACCCTAAAGCCCCCTTAACCCTTGAGCCGCTCTAAGCCACAATCTACCCTCCAGCTAGTTACTCGTACCACGACTCTCTCTTCAGGATGCTGTGGAGAGCTGGCCGGCCACGGCCTGCCGCCGCCTCCGGGAGCGCGCCTCGCAGCCGGCAGCCCGGGAAGATGTAGCCGGGTAATATCATAATCTACTATAGTACAGTACAATAAGTGTATATGTGTATATATCTGTTTGTGTGTGTGTATTCCTAAGTACGCAAGCCCCTTTTTTTTGTGTTTTGGGTTTTAGGTGTTGGGTTTGGGGGTCTGGGGTTCAGAGGTGTTTTGCAGGGGTTTGTGTTTGTGTGCGATTTGATAGGGTTTTGCATTCACGGTTCTGGTTTGGGCTGGAGGGTTCAGCATCGCGGCTTGTAGACACTCCGCATTATCACACAGCAAAGGCAAGATTATGCGGCTCGTTCTTAGGCGGCAAATGCGAGGTCCGGTTCTGGCTCAGAGGAAGGGCTCACTTTGCAACTCTGGGGGGAAAGATTGCAGAACCGGACCGCGGAGGCGATGCTTCCTTTGGGGGATTCCAGGCTAGGCCAAGCTTAAGCATGATGTTCGGGGCGACAGCGGGTGGATTCTTGGGTATCCATTCCTGACAGTTGGATTAAACCTTCCCTATAGCGGAGTAAAGTAGCGCAAGCAGCCAAAGACTCTGGGCTTTCGAGTTTCGGGCTTGTGTGATTGTGGTTGGAGTCCAGTGTGCAAGGGGACGGACAGTTGGAGATCCGGGTCGCTTTTTGGCATGCGTGACTTGAGGCCGTTTACACCCGAACCCTGCACCCCCAACCTCCAGAGCAGCAGGCCCCAGCCACAATAACGGTGACACGGTGACCCTGTGAGGTTAATGTCTATGATAGCGCGAAAGATCAGGAACTCGATTCCTCAGGCCCGCCCCTCTTTCCCACATGCTGCGCCTGAGCCATGTGCGGCGCTGTGACCTTTATCATGCCCTGGGTGTGCGACCGACGGCGTCGCAGCACGAGCTCCGAGAGGCTTACCTGCGCCGTGCCAAGCAATATCATCCGGATGTGGCTTGGCCAGACCTCTCGCTGTCACGGAGCCCAGTCCGTTGATCCAATACTCCCAGAAACATCCGTGATGGCTACAGAAGTGATCTAGAACGAGGTGCTGGCAAGAGCTCCTGCCGTCACCAAGCTACCTTCATGCTAGCGTCCCTAACCTGCGGCCCAACCAGCAATCCGTAAACCCACCAGCCACAGTGGCCAGAAATCTGAGCCTTCATCCTCAGAGCGAGACTTTGGTCACCGTCTGAGTCTTTCGGATTCTCTGGCAGGGACCTCAGGCCCAATGGAATCACTACTCGGGGTTGAGTGCAGATTTAGGGACTTATTATGGGGATACTACTGTGGAAGCTCTCTTATTCTTTTAGCTGAGATTCTCAGGTAGCCGGGTCCTGCTCTGCCCGCTTCCAGCGAGTCCAACACGCCTGGGAGACGCTCCGAGATCCCGCACGGCGGAGGGTCTACGACCACGGTCTGCCAGGTGGAACTGGAGCTGGGGTGTTGGAGTTTTCAGCCTTGCTTCTAAAGTCTAGAGTTGGAGGGATGGACATCCGCGCGCCAGAACCAAACAGCCGGCCGCAGTCGTTAGAGGTGCCGCGGCGCGGCATCCCACACCCCCGCGACACCACAACGGCTGCTTGGCTGTACACCTCCGAGACTACATTCGGTGTTCTGGGCTACGTAGTGGGGGTGGCGAAGTAGAAAGATTCCGGTGAATCCTGTGGAGCCAGGTTGACAGCACTCCTCTAGCACTTAGGGCTTGGGGCAAATCCATGCAAATCCATTCCCTGATGCGGGTCTTGCTCACATCGTCGCACCCGTGCGAATGTGTACGGCGACAGCAGCAGCTTCAACTGCAACTCCTCCGCCTCCTGCTACCTGTCACTTCCACGGCTGATATCATATCTGCAACGAACAAAGATATATAGGCATACTACAAGAGCACGGTGAGTTCTAGAAGATACATGCTTTGGTCTCCAGGTTTCGCTGGACACGGCCATCCAGGAGCTAGCCATCGCCACTGGTATGAAGATCTCAAGGCATCGCACGAAGCCCGCCGCAGAGAGGACCTGAAAGCGGATCTGCATAGCATGCATGTCTATGCCTCACATCCGAGCCCCGAAGCCCTTCGCATGAACAATTGTAGACAGTACCGGCAGAATCACAAAGCAACAGGAGTCCCGCCGAAGGGAGCCTGGCGCAGGCTTCCAAACTCCACATGCTGAGAGGTTGCGCAGACAGACGCGGCATTTCGAAGAGGCCGCCGAGGGTCCGTAGTTTGTCGATTTTTGACCCCGATGCTCCTCAAGCTAAGTCGCATGGGGCTTGACCCGCTCTGCAGCCCAACCGTAGCAGCTGCTTTGCGAGTATTGACACTGTATGTTGCAACGGGGACTCTCATGCGTGCACTTCTGTCTTCGCAACGGGGGTGCTTGGCGGCCTCTAGGCTGAACTCATTGATGCCCCTTGACAGGGCAATTCTCTAGAATCCTCGAATCTGTGCGATGCCGACGGTGTGAGGAGATAGTTTGTCAGCGCACAGTCATAGAGCGATGTGCCCAAGTAGGGCCTATCAGGTAAACGCTGCCCTTGCGAGGTCATGCGCGAGGTTGGTTCCAACCCGGACATGAAGCAGTTTGTCGGCGCTGGATTGCAGATAAAGCTCTTGTGCCAGCTTGGTTTCATCCTCGCTGCAATGTGCCATGGCCATCTAGTCATCTCCATGTTTGCATCTATGCCCGGAATCTGCAATATGAGCACACGGTGTCGGAAGGCGGGGCAGACTTTTTCGCTCTGATCAGGCTGAATCTGCTGCTGTGGGCATTCGCCAAGCAGCAGAAGTCGCGAGGTAGCAGCCGGCCTCCCACGGAGCTAGACCGGGTGCTGCGGTCTTTGGGAATCGTCCTCCGCTGAGGGTGAAGATGTCGCCGGTGAGTCTCTTGTGAGCTTCTTAGCTTACGGTCAATGCGTCGGGAATTCCGACCCCCGGGAAGCGTGAGGATGTCCTTGTTGTTTGTACATATGTTGATGCTGCCAGCAAGTGCTGTCTTCCAGCGCTGCAAAGCCACCGCACCTAGGTGCAAGCTCGTTTGCATGCACTCGTTGGCCGCCGAACCACTCGAATGTCACAGAAAAGTCTTGCGAGTGGGGGTCAGATAGATCCAGCAGCAGCTGCCCAACAAAGGCCTGCGCGGGAGGAGTTCGAGGAAGTCTTGTCTCGGGGCGTCCAGCAAGTGGTTCGCCTCTCAGCGCTTCACGGTATACTGCTATTCGTAGGTAGAAATTGTGCGCGGGTCCTTTGACACCTGTTCTGTCAGCCAACCCAAAGAAGACGTTGGGCTATCAGCTACCAGCCAACCACCATGGATCACTAAGGTGCTTGCGATGCAACGCAACAACGGCAGTGCCAAGCTTTTTGCGTGGGGTTGCAGGCACGGGCCGCAGCGTAAGCGGTCTCAGCTCCGTCGGCATCACGTGACGGGCCCGACAGCTAGCATCAGTCTCCTTGTCAGGGCGCTGGCTGCTTTAGTGGTCCGTCCGCCAGCGCCTGCACCCCAGTGGATCACGGATTTCCCAGCAATGATTTGGTTTACCTGTCGTTCGCAATACCGTTCTGCCTCTCTGCAGCCACATCTTGAGCACTAGAGCTGAAGTCGCACAACGAAGAACGAAACAGCCCGCAAAGATGTGCAAAAGAATAGTGGATCCGCTTCCCAGGCAGCCAGCAGACTCCCACACATGGTCGTGGGCTGATAATGACTATGGCAACAGCGTTTGCGGAGGCACAGGGTCCAGAGGGCAGAGAAATCCGAAGCCCTAAGCTCTACGGAGTCTCCTTGCTGCAAGTTCCGCCACGTTCTCTTCGCAAGTTGGATCGCCCAGGGGGCTGTTCCCTGATAACTTCACAAAAAACCCTCAAGACGTTTTCCGGCAAAGGACGGTGCAGCGTGGGGAAGAGATATTCTGTATCTTCGCCGCAGGTAGCAACAGCAACTGCAATGCAAGCCAGCCGGTGGGAGACTCGGCGACTCCAGGTGAAGCACATCAGGGTCTTGGGGTAGATGCTCGCCTTATGATATTGTGTGTATATACGTATATGTAGTAGATGTACATTATATATATATATATATATATATATAATATTATACACGCCTACACCTACAGCACCTACACCACCTTCACCACCTGCACCGCCTACACCGCCTACACCACCTTCACCAGCTACACCACCTGCAGCACCTACACCACCTACACCACCTACACCACCTACACCACCTACACCGCCTACACCGCCTACACCACCTTCACCACCTACACCACCTGGACCACCTACACCACCTACACCACTTACAGCACCTGCACCACCTCCACCACCTACACCACCGACACCACCTACACCTCCTACACCTCCTACAGGTACATGTATATGTACGTGTACAAATATTCCTATACGTGTACATACACATACATACATGCATGCATAGCTACATACTCACATAGAAGAAGAAATAAGTAACATGTATGTGTACATGTTCACTTGTTTCTTGGTATGTATGTCTGTTTGTATGTATGTATGTAAGTAGAGACGAATACATAAATATCAGCAGGGGGTTAGTATACATGCACTTTCGGAGTAGGAGCTTGGCCAACCAGTGTGCCGGTCGTCCACACTAGCCAGGTTTACCTCCACGGATTTAGGGTAGAGTGCCGTAGGTTTGGTGCTCTGGAATCCCAGAGAACACGAGAACCTTCAGAAACCAGCCGAGAATGTTACTTTGCTGCTCTCTGAGACTCTGGAGAAGATGTTCATTCTCCTTGACAATAGCAAAGCGGCCACGGCCAACGAGTCAGGTCGGGCTGCACAATTCCCCTTTGGCTTTTTGCAGTTGCTCTTCCACCCCAATCTGTACCACCATTACCGGTTCGTAATTAGTGAAGGTGACTGTACCAAGTCCAATACTTAGTCTACGTACAGGGACGACACCTGCTCCGACTATTGCGACGACCACTGCGACTTACTACTGCGACGACTGCTACTGCTAGTGCTACTACGATGCCGACTACTGCTAGCAACTTTCACTTCCAACCACTAACTGCTGCTACCACTACCGCTGCCCCTTCTCCTGCTAGCTTCTGCTACTGCTCCTGCTACAGCTGCATCTGCTGGTGGTGCTGCTGCCGCCGCCGTTGCCGCTGCGACTGCTACTGGCAGCTGTTACTGCTACTGTGCAAGTAAGTGCTCGTACTGCTGCTGCTGCTACTACTACTACTGTTACTGCTACTACCACTACTACTGCTAGCGCTGCTGCTACTGTGACTTTGTATGACTGCTACTTTCTACTACTGCACCAGTACCGCTGTGTGCTTTTTGTATGACTGCTACTTTCTACTACTGCACCAGTACCGCTGTGTGCGTGCGTGTGTGTGGGTGTGTGTGTGTGTGTGTGTATGTGTGTGTCTGTGTGTCTGTGTGTGTGTGTGTGCGTGTGTGTGCGCTAGTGCTATTGTAGTGCTAGTGCTAGTGCTAGTGCTAGTGCTAGTGCTAGTGCTAGCAGCCAGCACACGAAATTTGTTCGAATATCGCAGAGCATTGAAGAGTGCTTACGTTGACATGAGATGTTCGAAATGTGTGGAGTTAGGGATTGTATGGCTCTCGGATGCAAGCCTGTCAGTTTCCAAGCTAAAGATGCTAAGTCTTGTTGCAGGGCCGCCGATGGCCAATGACGTGCAGCCGGCAACGTGTTGGTCATTACATGCTCTTGCCAGCGACCGGCGTCTAAAGCCGCATCAACACCAAACGCCCAAAACTCTACAACCTTTCACAGCCCCCCGACCCCCTCCCACCGCAAAGAGAAACTCAGCTAAGCCTTGTAAACCTGCAATCCTAAGCGTAACACACCACCTTTTCACGAAGCACTGTGGCCTACACATAGCTGCGAAAAGTAGTCGTTTGGTAAAACTAAGAATCTGAAGACTACCACAAGTAGGTCAGTAAGCTCCACAACCGCCGTCCGTCGTGATAGTAGTGGTAGTAATGGTAGTAGCGGTAGTAGTGCTTGCAGTGGTAATGGTGGTAGAAGTGGTTGCAGTGGTGGTAGTGGTGGTGGTAGTAGTAATAATGATAATAATAGTGGTCGTCGTCGTCATAGTCGTAGTCGTTGGCAAAGCTCATGTCATCCGTGCTTGGTTGTCGTTGGAGCAAACAGCAGCAATAGCCACCACAACGGCAGCGACGAGAGTGCAACGTCATGGCGCTACGGCCGCTACGGCTTCCACTACATTCACCCTTGTAGCGTCGAATACAAATAACAAGATCGGGAGCTACGGTAGTGGCGGCAATGGTCGTGATGCCAACTGGCAGCAGCCATATCAATGGCAATACTTACATCCCAGTAAGCCGCAGACAGGGCATGCAGGGGCAACTGTAATACCAACAGCAGCAGCAGCAGCAGCAGCAGCAGCAGCAGCAGCAGCAGCAGCAGCAGCAGCAGCAGCAGCAGCAGCACGAAGCAGGGGTTGCACAGCCACCTGTCGTCCTGCAGCCAAGAGCATCTCACGTTTGGCGTCGCCGCGGTAGTGGTGGCGGTAGCAGTAGTCGTTGTCGTAGGAGTCATCGTAGTAGTAGCAGTAGCAGTAGGAGTAGCACCGGTTGTTGTCGTTGTTGTTGTTGTCATAGACCTCATGGTTTTTGTTTTTCATCTTCTTGTCCTGAACAGTCTTGCTGGTCTTGCTGACAGCGAAACATCAGTCCTGCAAAGACCATGAGGGCACAGGGTTTGACATGCTTTTCGCTTGCAGCAGCCCGGAACCGCCTCAGCAGGTGCCTTTGTGGCTGTTCATCATGCGCCAGTTCCTCCTTCTCGTGCCGCGGGAAGACCCGAAGGTCTGCTGCGAATCATTCCAGAAACGTTTCATGGCTCCACAAGGTTGCCACTGCTTAGCAGCACGTTCTGCGTGTTTCGCAGGAGCCGAATGCCAAATCCATCGGTGGTCCCTTGCCTATCGCTCCAGGAGTGCGAGGCTCAGATTCAAGTCCACTTTTGTGGGCGAGGTTGGGGCAGGTGGGCCAGGGAGCCCCGTGACCCGAACCCCCGAAGTCCGCGACCATATGCTATATGCTCAACTTTGCCGGAGGTCCGATTCCTGGGTCGTCTAGCAGGCTGATGGTCCGAGTCCGAAGCCCTAAACGCCGAACATCGAGGCCCTCCGCGAAGCCGGAACTTGTGCTCTAGCGACGATGCCAGTGCCCAAGAACCTTGGTCAGACGTGCCACTCCGAGTACTGATCATCAGAGTTAACGATAATATGATAGCAACACCATATATACACAGGTGCATGTATTCAGCACTTGCGACAAGTATAGTAGATGCACACACAGCTGGCAGCTGCTAGTGGCAGGCATGACATCCGAGGCGACATCTGTGCGACCACACAGGACCTGAAGCTGGCAACGCAGCTCTTGAGGAGCCCTGCTTGGGTGAGATCTGGACTTCCTTTGCGCAGGCACTCCTGGTTTGTCTGTAGGACATGGGACCGATGTTTCCGATGTAAGATTGCCCTGAACCTGCGGTAGCTGTAAGATTGACAACTCAACTCCAAATCCTGGAGCCCTGAATGCTTGTAAATGTTGTTTTTCAGCTTCCCCTGACCGGGATGTTACAAGCCGTTGCAAGCCCATACTCGTACAAGATGCCCCAACTCCCGACATCGTACATCCCAAAACCCTGTTCGACTTGCCTCGACCTCTCAATTCAGACCTGCCGTTTGAAGACGAACTTTCCTGCTCGGCGAAGGAGCTCTTGGCAGTGCTGAAAAAGGACGAGCGAGGTGGGTCAGCTCAGAATACAGGGATTCTCAACGTTTTCACGTTGCTAAAAGGCCCGGATTAGGGTTCAGGGGCACGCCCGACAATCCAAATCCACGCATCTCAGACCCTGACTCTGCAAGCCCGTGCAGGTTACTTACTGTACACAGGTTCAAAGACCCTAAACCCTAAAACCCTAATCCCTAAACCCTAGACCCTAAAACCGTAATCATTCCTGAACCCTAAACCCTAAAACCCTAATCCCTAAACCCCAAGCCCAAACCCTTTGGCCCTCCACATGCCCAAGGCAGCGCAGCTTTGCTGGCCTGGGTTTCCGCCGCTGTTGCAGCGCTGGCCGCAGATGGCAGGGCACTGGCCGAGGTCGCAGTGCAGGCACGACAGCAATAATGATAAGCTTCAACAGATGATAGTGCTAGTAGTCGTTACATGATTACAGCGAAAGTCATGTAATCTTGAGAAGAAAAAGGTTACGGTGTTGGCGTTTCTCTTGCATGATCTAGGGACTCCTTGCAGCAACCAAGTGCTGAGGACACGACAAACCTCGTCTGGCAAGTAGGATAGCAGAAGCCATGACACTTGATAAGTTGTTGGTGCATTTCGAGTCGAGTTTCCAATCCCCCTACAATCCCTTGAAGTGCTAAGCACGGTAGCAGGAATGGTGATGATGATGATGATCATCATCACCATCATCACCACCATAGTCTCACCGTTTCATAGCGTGATCGTCACCATGGCGGCCGTTATAGTATACCAGTCGCAGCTTCAATAGCAAGCAACAGTTGATGAAGCCGGGTCCATCAGCATCTGCGACCATTGGCGTCATTAGAGGTCGAATCTGTCCAGTTCCTCACAGCAGAAATGGCTGCTGGCTGACACAAAAGTCAGGGCATTTGGATCTAAGTTACGATGGCCGTTGTTGTTGATGTCGCGAACAGCGCAGTGCTAGTACCGTTGCCACGGGTATTTCAAGAAATCAAGAAAACTGAAATTGAAATCTAAGACCTCATCCAGAAGCTCGTCCGAAGGCCACCGCCACGGGGACGTCGGCCCCGAACCCCCGTGTCACAGGCCGGGAGCAAGGGGCGAAGGGGCCCGGGGCTCCTGCTTTCTGCGTGTTTCTGAGCATCGGAAGCCCTGGATTTCAGCTCTGTGGCCATACAACCAGAGAAGCGTCTCCTGTGCTGTGGTGTGCTTCAGTGTGCTTCAATGCTTGGTCTTGCGAGGCAGCACGAGCTTGCTGCCCAGCGCAGGGCTCAGAACAGCAATTTCAGGATCTAGCTCGCAGGACTTGCTGAGGCAATGTCGGACTGATTGGGCTGGTGGAGCAGCTCACAGTATTTCCAATCTTCACTGCTGCATTGTCGCAGTAATTAGTGATGGCAATCATGACTGCAGCAACAACTGAACAAACGAATTCCAATTCTTGCAGCTACAGCAGCGAAAGCTAACAGCTAATGTGCATGATACTCACAGCAATGTCCACAACAACCTGCACTCCTTTGCATCCCCATTATCACCATTGCCATCATTATCTCTGTCATTGTCGTTATCATTATGATTGTCATTAACAGTATCATTATCATAATTATAATTATTATTATTATCATCGTCACCCGCACCATCTCCATCAGTCTCCGCTAGCACCTGTGCCGAATCAGCATCATCAATGATCTTCATCAGGGCCAGCACGATGAGGCTCATCATCGCAGCCGGCAGTGCAGCAACCACATCACCATCCACCACCATCAACATCATCACCAGCATCACCCGCATCACCATCATCACCATCATCATCATCATCATCCTCATCATCAACATCAAAATCATCAACAACAGCATCGTCTTGTTCTTCTTCTTCTTCTTCTTCTTTTTCGTTTCTTTTTCTCGTCGACCTGGTCCTGGTCCTCATCCTCACCGGCAGCATGGCAAGTACAGCTTCACGACACCTTTCGCATCTTCATCACCGTTGCCATGTGGCGGCTTCTAGCGACGATGATATAGACAAGCACTGGCATAGTTTGCAAATCACCCTGAGGTCTCAGTAGCCTTCTCACAGCCTCCGCACGTGGGCTGAAGGCTGCAGGCTGGAGTATCGTGGAGTCGTGGAGTTCAGCAGGAGGATCGCGTGGTCGTCGTCGTCGTCGCCGTCCTACAGGTTATCGGTAGGTAGTTGCAGTAGCAGCAGCTGCTAGCAACCTGCCAGTAGGCGTAAGCAAGGAAAAGCAGCAGCAGGGGGGCGAGGGGGAGAAGGAGGTCAAGTACTCGTAAAAGTACGAGTATTACTGGCTCTCGAGCGAGTGTCATGGTTGTCGTCAGCATACGTTATGGCAATAAAGATCATTGCGATGACTAGCATCCTTTTGATGTTTCTCGTTGGTAGCTTGTTCTAGCTTCACTCTTGAAAATCTTATTCTCAGTGTATCCTCGTCAATGTTCTCACGATTACCATTCCTGTTGCACTTACTCTTCGTCTGTTTCGGCCATACATAGGTGCCATTGCCATAGTCACTGTCCTTGCCATTTGTCCTGCTGTTCGTTTTCGCAACCATCCTGAGATGGAGAAGATCCGATAAACAATACAACTCAATTCCCGAAACCCACATCCCCACATACTTTAACAATCGCCGTGTTGAGACTTAAACCCTAAACCCGAAACCTAAACTTGGGACTCTTCAACCCTAAACCCTCGACGTTAAGCCCTAAACCCTAAACCTTAAGACGCCAAACCCTAAACGCGAGAGCAGGCCCGGTGCGGCCTCCGAGCAGCCCAGCCTTAGCTGCCGGCGTAGCCACCGGCCTCCTTTCCGGTGGCTTGGGCTTTAACGGGTTTTGGGGCCTGAATCATTACCAATTTCTCTGTTGTGGGGGTCTCAATATTAATGGGTTTGGCATATCAGGACTCGGGTATCGCCTTAGTTCTCTCGTGAACGTCTTGACCTTGAATGCATCCTTGGCGTTGAGGAGTTGGAGTCTTGGGGTTGGGGCTTGCAACTTCGGGTTGCCAATCTTGTGTGTGGGCTGTGGGGTAAGAGCCGAAGCTATAGATTTGGGTTCAGACCGAAAGCTTTGGGAAGGAGGGCCGGACAGGAGAAAAGTTTCGTGTTAAGACTTGAGGCTTGATGGGAAACGCAACACCCTACGGAGCATGCCTAACGGTGCCTGTGAGATCTCGAGCCCCAGAGCCGTAAACCTGCACCCACCTCTCCAGGCCCAAAGCCTGGAACCCTTACACCATCAAGTTCCAACCCCATGTGCCTGAGGTTTGCGTCGGATACCGGCGACAGCTCGAAACGGGGCAGCGGCCTTACGTTTCCATTCGTGGGAAGATGTCCTGTAGCCAACTCCATTTTGCAACGGCCATCCCCCCAATTTGCAGAAGTTGCGGCCTGACAAACAGCACTCGAGCAGGCTTTTGCAGGTCAAGCCGTCGAGTCAGGCCTTGTCAAGCTGTAAGCGTTGAGCCGTTCCTGAGGCGGGCGGTGGTACCACGACGCCAGCCGGGGTCGGGTGCTGAGCCTCTTTCGCTCGGGACATGGAGTCGAGCGGGTTCCACAGGGTTCCGCAGTATGCCTGGTTGCTGCGGTTTGGGTAAGACAACACTATCCCACTTGCGAGGCGGCTTTGGGAAGGTATCGCGAATTTTGTAACTACGCTCGGTGGTTCTCAGGACGTATACTTTTTGGGGTACAGGGTTGCAATACTCCTGCAGTGGCAAGGCGAGTAGGTCTTTCATGCTTCCGAGGATGGCAGCACTCGTGGGAGGGTCACCCTCCGGGACGGCCACATCGCCGTCGGTGACGTTGTCAGGTGGCGAACCGCATCTCAACAAATGCTGGTTGCTTGGGGAGTTAGGGGAGTCGAGGATGAGCCTTTGCTCCCGAATTCCATACCCAAAACTGTTGCGTCTTAATTCCTTTGCCGTATCCCTTAGAGTACACTTGCTGGCGATCTTGAGAGCCGATCATCCCACCGGGGTGGTTGTTAAGAACCATAACGCGACCTTGCCAGGTATGAGTGTTTGTATGCTCTCCAAGCAAGGGGCCTCACTCCTCGAGAGTTTGCATGGCAGGCTTCACAATGACCTGGAACGTGCCAAGAGGGAGCAGGCTACGGCACATGGAGTTCTACTCTCGCTCATGATCGAAAGTTTTCTGTGCTGTATGACTTAGTGACTGTCAAACATGATAGCTGGCATAGCGGCATGCTTCCAGGGTGCTCGCAGGCAACATTGGCTCTGCGAAGTGATGTCCTGTCAACTGCAAGCCTTGCATATACAGACAAGAAGTGTGTTTGGAATGATTGTCCTTTCCCAATTCTGTCACAGTGCTTCCGTGATCGCCTTCTCGACCATGACATGTGGCTGCGCGTATCAGACACAACTGCAAGGAGCCTCCTGAGCATTTTGGCGGCTGGTGCGACAGGACAGGGTCCAGCATTCCAGAGTCATCAAAGTGCCGAGTTTGGTGTGTTCCACAGAGTGGTCAAAGCTCTGCTCTGCGTACTGTCGCAACTTCCCACTCTAGCCTTATTCCTATTTGCGGTTTGGGCATGTAGGATTGGTGTTTGTTTGTTGTCACAGCATCACACCTCGAACCTCCGCCAACCCACGCCCCTTAACAAGTTTATTTTGTCTTCAAGAGGAGCTCTCACAGCAACCTGTGGCATGTACACCCTGTTGACTGCTTGACGTCAAAATCTCGGTGCTCTTGCTACATTGTCTACTGTTTCGTATCTGGATATGATTTCGGTAGTTGGCAGGATGGCATTCTGCTTGGACTTCCCGGGCCGCGTCGTCGGGGCCTGGTTTGTTCGGCTGCGGGGGCTTGACTTTCTGTAATAAGAACCTTGAACAACAGCGCGAGAAGAGGACGAGAAAGACGACTGGGAAAGCCAAGAGGAGAGAGACCAGGTAAGCATCTGCCTTCAGATTCAGAAACCCTGCAGCATGCTGGATTCAGCGCGGGGATCACCAAGCACAAGGCACTCGCCACACATTTCTGTTCTCACCGAGGTCGAGATTCCACGGCGCTCGCCTAGAATGCCAGAGGCAGAGTTGAAGACGTGACGGCAAATAGGTGCTTGTGTTAGTAACAACATAGCATGATGAGGACGATGATGATGATGATGATGATGGTGCGTCATCATCATCATCATGATCATGGCCATGAGCAACGACAGCAACACCACCAACAACACCACGACCAGTGCGCCACCGTCAGCGGCGGCAGCAGCAGCTCTGAAGCAGCAGCAGCAGAAGCAGCAACAGCAACAGCAACAACAACGCCATCTATAGCAACAGCAAGAAAAGGAGCAAGAACACGAGCAAGACCACAAGCGCGATGGACAACAAGAAAAACAGCAATAACAACAACAAGAGCAACAAGAACAAGAAGAAGAAGAAGAAGAACAACAACAACAACAACAAGAAGAGCAAGAGCAACATGAACAAGAACAAGACCACAAGCGCGATCCACAAAACAAGAATAACAGCAATAACAACAGCAAGAACAATAACAGTAACGACAAGATCAAGAGCAGCAAGAACAAGATCAACAACAACAACAGCAACAGCAACAACAACAACAACAAGGAACGAACGAACAACAACAACAACAACGACAACAACAACAACAACAACAACAGCAGCAGCAGCAGCAGCAGCAGCAACAACAACAACAACACAAACGACCGCAACCATAACAGCCGTTGCAACAACAACCACAACAACAACCATAACATCAACAGCCAGAATGACAAGAATAACCGTAACAACATCAGCAGCAGAATCAACAACAACAACAACAACAGCAACAACACCAGCAGCAACACCACCGCCAACAACAACATTATTATCGACAGCAGCAACCACCACCACCACCACCACCACCACCACCACCACCACCACCACCACCACCACCACCACCACCACCACCACCACCACCACCACCAACAACAACAACAACAACAACAACAACAACAACAACAACAACAACAACAACAACAACAACAACAACAACAACGAGAACAGCTAGAGCAGCAAGAATAGCAAGACCAGCAATAACAGCAACAACAACAACAACAACAGCAACAATAGCAACAACAGCAGCAACAGCAACCGCAAGGCCGGAAGGTCACAAGGCCACAGGGGGTACGAGGACAAGGACAATGACAAGAACAATAATATGAACAAAAACAGCGACGTCAATGTCAATGTTAGCATCAATATCAACATCAACAACGGTACTAGCAGCAGCATCACAACAACGCAACCAGCACCAGTACCAGCACCAGACCAACAACGGCGCTCCAAGCGCAACAGCAACGGTAGAACGAGTAAGAGTACGTAAGAGCCAGAGCCAGAGGCGGAGTCATTGTAATAGTCATATCATGCTAGTGAGAATAGCAATAGTAGTGGCAATAGCAACGATAGTGGTAATGGGTTCTTCTAGTTCTTCTAGTACTACAACGAGAACTAGTACTAGTAGTAGTACCCGTAATATTAGCAGTAATAGCAATCATCATCAACACCAACACGAGTGACAGCGGCGACCACACGTAGCAACACTAAAAACACCGGCCGCTTTTCATGTGCTCACCGGTGCAGGTCCTGCGCATCTCCCATGGGGCCACTTGCCCCGAGTTGGCTGCTTCCAGTAATGATATGAAGATTTGGGACGGGTTAGCACCTCTTTACAAGATACGAAACTCTAACCGCCCAGAAAGGTTTGCGGCACTTCGCACATTCGACATAGTCTCATACATCACGAACAATAACTCAGATCCGTTGAGCACAGTCCTCCGAAGAAGCACTCCTGCGTGTGTGCCTGCGAGCTCCAAGCATCTCGGCAAGCCACCCGAGAACCTCCTCACTGACGCCCCTCATCATCGTCATGAGTGCCGTTTTTGGACTTGTTCTTGTCGTTCTCGTGTTCGCGGCCTGGTTGTTTCATGTACATCGTTGTTATTGTTCTTGCTATTGTTCTTGTTCTTGTCATTGTTATTGCCTTTATTGGTATTGCTGTTGTTATTGCTTTGTTGTTGTTGCTGCTGCAGCCGCTGCTGCTGCTTCTGCTGCCGCAGACGCTGCTACTACTTCTGCTGCTGCAGACGCTGCTGCTTCTGCTGCTGCTGTTGTTAACGCCGCCGCGGCGGTTGTTTCTGTTGTGGTAGTCGTCGTTTCTCGTTGTTGTTCTTGCTGCTGAGGCTGCGCGCACGTGCTACATAGATGCTTGCTGCAAGAGTCCTTCAAAAAGCGTTTTGCTTCCTCATCGTCGCAATGGGTTGAAGCACCGAGCAAGGACTGAGGTTCTGCTTCTCCTTCTCTAGTAGCAATCCTTCTCTAGTAGCAATAATATATGCAAGCCAGACTTCGCAAACCCAACCCGACATCAAACACGTGGCAGTTTTGTTGCTGTGCTTCACCCAAGGCCCTTGGATGTTGGTGCTGGAATGCCAAAGCAGTCGCAGAGGACTGGGTCTTGCTGCCAAACCCGAAGCCACAGAACCTAAAGCCCTACCATCCGGCAGGTGATCTCAGATGCAGGCCTGCTTCCCTTTGAAGAAGGCAGGGGGTGAAATCTCTAAACAACGCGTCCAACGAAGAAGAAGAAACAAAGTAAAGGTCATGTCTTGCACAGACTCCTGCGCCCCAGACCCTAAGCTCAGAACTCGAAAATGCTGAACTAAAGTGCCTGATTCCCTCTCACAGTGCCCCAGATAGCATCGGGATTCTGAAGGATGTCGATCAGCCTAAATGGCAGTAGAACACGACGCGCTCGGACCGAAGCCCTCCCGACCAAAAACTGCCACGCATGAGCCGGAACCCTATTTTCTCAGAAGCTGCCAGATGAGTGCGGCCCTGGTGCAGCCCTGACGATCGGCGACGAGGCACCACGCCCCAGGATGCCCGAGTTCTTAGAGGTCAGAGTTGGTGGGCTTATAGGGCTTCAAGTTCAAGACGATGGCAATGGATGAAGAGGAAAGCATGGAGGACGATGAGGATGACCTTTGTAGTACGTTGGCTTCTTCTTCTTCTTCAAACCACGCTTCAAGTGACCCTTCATGGCAATGATTTCTCACGGATCCATCTGTGCTTGTTGGGGTCGAATGCTAAAAGCTTTATGTTCGAAACCCAAAAGCAAAGTATTACGACACCCTGAAACTTAGAACCATAGATAGACCTTCAACCAGCAGCGCAACCCTCAATCGGCTTCCGTTGAGATCCCCGGCCACATCGAGGGTCACATCTTGCGTATGCATGTGTGTATGCACGGCCATATGCATGTATGTAGGTAGGTAGAGAGGTAGGTATATATTCCAACAAGCACAAGCGACACCATCTGCCTGATGAGAGCGCCGGACTGTAGGGCACGAATGCCAGGTGCGCATCGATGTCACCGTGGAGGAAGCCAAGCAGCTCCAGGCAGGCTTCCGGTCTGAGAGTTCAAGGTTTCAGCACTTTTTCTTCCTCTTCTTCTTCTCGTAAACTTGTCCACGCGGGTCGTGAGGTCCCAAGAATCTTGACTACCAAATTCTCCCTGTAAACGCGGAATCCCTACGACACACACTGGCAGGGCACGTAGGCCTCCTAAAGCTTCAGATGAAAAGGGACGAACAGACTGCTTGGGGTGTTCCAGATACGTTTGTCAGTCATGTCATGTGCCCGGCAGGTCAACCACGGTGGCTGGAACGATCGCATGACTCAGCCGCAGACTCACCGGTGATTCTCCACAACACTTCGCAAAACCAGTCGCAAAACCTACTTGTTTCTGTAATCAGAAGACAGATCACTGGACTCCAGGTGCTGTGGGCGCGTCGGGCGTCTCGAGGCCATTGACAAAGCTGGGGACATGAAGGCGCGAACAATCCGGTTGCAAGTCACGCAAGCCAATCAAACACCTATCCATCTACCTATCTATCTAATTACCCACCTATCTATCCCTATCTTTCTATCTCTCTGTCTGTCAGTCTCTTTGTCTGCCTGTCTATCTATCTACAACGAAACATCGGTAGAGTTGCAAAGACTGTGGCCATACCAGTCAACACATACATGCGTTTGCATATCCTTTGAACGCTGCTTAGTTCCTGCATGTCCTCAGTCAGAAGCCCGAAACCCTCATGTAGCAGCAGCAATATGTGAGGTAGAAGAAGCCACAAAACCCTTGTTCGAATCTGTTGTTCCTGAGCCTGAACCCAAAAATCCTTGACCAGACCGAGTCTGCAGGTGCTGGTCCCAGGTGCCGGTGCCTTTGTGTGGAACCCTCGGGCACTCCGGTCCCTCCATGCACAGAGGCACTTGGGCTAAAGGGTTAGAGTCTTCCTTTGGGATGTTGGGGTTTTGCAATGTTCAGCGCAAATCCATCCGTGTCCCTTACTGCCAAAGTCCACGGCTAAATGGCCGATCGTCTGCATGTAGGTCTTCTGCTGCAGACCGCATGATAAATTGCTCCAAGAGCCTCTTTCCACTCCTGCGGTGTAGGTGGGAGTCGGCTCTTTGCGAAAGGCTTTGCGGGCCATGCCCTTGGAATCGCAGCTGCTCGGGCTCGGGTTCAGGGTGTAGAGGTTGGCTAGTGCCAAGCATTTCCCAATCTTGTGCCCAATCGATATTGTCTGTGGCCCTGCAGTAATTATGGACTGGAAATTTATGGATCGAGGGTTCAGGGCTCTAGGATGTTGAGTGTTCGGTTCATGTAGGGCACCCAGGCCAGACGCTCGTTTCGCCAGAACCGCGGCTTCAACTTTCATCTCGCAAAGGTATTTGTATAGTAGTATAGTATATCAGTATATTGAAACGGTGAGAGAAGGGCAGATGCCGTGCCCTGAGGTCCATCGAAGGCACTTTGCCCTTGGCGCTCCTGGCGGCCTTGTCTTGCCTGGGTTGCCGCCGAGCGCCCAGGATTCGGCTTGATGCAACGGCTTGCGGGCTCCTTTCGGGTGTTGAACAAAGGAACACTTGAAGCCTGGAAGCCAACGGGGTGGATATATCGAACCAATTCAGACGTCCTTCACCTGGCTAGTGCTGGGCCCAGACCAAGACACCAAAGAAGTTCCAATCCCAAAAAGCCCTCACGCACCGACCCCGGGAGCGCAACTCCAAGGTCTTGATGCAGATGGCATGAAAGCTGCCTACGCCGAATTGGCCGCAGATGTGCGGTGCCTGGTGAGATGCTGACAGGGGTCAGAATTTGAGATGCAAGGGTTTGGGACAGTGCTTGGCGCCTCAGGGTACTGGCTGAGGCCATGGTGAAAGTCGAAAGTTGGATGATGCGTTTGATATCGATACAGAGTACGATCTGACTCACGCATCCATCCGTGGCCTTGCCTGCTGGGTCGAACCCTTTCAACCATGAGCCCCAAGGCCTTAAGTCTGACAACCAAACCCCTGTAAACCCTAAAAGAAGACCCTCGCATTCTGCAGAGACTTCAGTCGATCGATCCGCTCCTTACCCCGAAGCCTAAGCTGCTGAAGGCTCAAAGCTCACAGGACGGTGGCTTCCAAGGACACCGTCTGGAAGCACGCGTTTTCCGGTTTAGAGCTCGGGTCCAGGGGGATCTCAAAGCCAAATCCTGAAGTCTCATGCAGCCTGGGCCACAAGTCCAAGTCCAACGTCTTCAAGGTGAGCTGCCTCGAGGTCTGGAAGCCTTTTCTGCCGAGGTATGCAGTGGTACACGAAGGTAGTCTGTTGCAAGAGCACCCCTGTCAGCTAATTGCCATGAATTCTTCACTTTGCAGCCGGCCCGGGTTCCCAAAGCCACCGTTCGCAATCCCCGAGGCCCAAGCTCAAAGCCCAAAGCCCAAGACCGGAGATTCAGCTGGCACGCGAGGATGGATGTCACTGGCAACGGCTGCGCTGCTCGTGGATCCCTCCCTAGTGAGTCCCTCAGACCTTGAAGCCGCACAAGCTGCTTTTGTGAGCTTGGCAAGCATTGTCCAAGAAAGTCCCAGCCGCCTGAACTTCGGCCTGAACCCCTGAAGCCGGTAGCCCTAATCGTCAATTCTCTGAGGCGGCTGAATCGCTCGACGAGGCCCGCATCCTTTCTCAGCTCAATAATCGCAGCTGCTCTTCCCAAAGCGCCAACGCCCGAAACCCTACATTGTAGGAGTTGTCGGGAGTTGTATTACCACAGGCACTGAAGCATCATGAAACCTTGAACCCTCCATCTGATCAAACCACGAAGCAGTCGCTCAGACCAGCCGGATTCTGGTGAGGCCCAACACCAGTCGCCCAAGGTGCTGGCAAGTCCATTCCTCAGATTAGAACTTGGTTGGGAACAGAATGAGGTGACTTCGTCGAAGCCGAACGGTCGACTCTTCCAGCTCTTCCGCTGCCTTTCGGTAGTCTCTCTAAATTCGCTTTTCATGTGCCAGCGTGGCGAATCATCTAGAGGGGTGCGGATGCACGCATGGGTAGGGAAAGCTGCGCATTTTCGTTGGCCGCTGTTAGGATTGATTGTGCTGCAGTCGATCGCTCGTCCTGACGCTTCTTGCGCTGCTTCGGATTCTCTGTTGTTTCACTGGGTGTATCGCCCTTTGTTAGCTTCTTGTTCTGGCGATATTGCCCAGTCTCTGGTTCAATCAGAATGCCCTATTTCTTATGCTGCCGGGTGACGCAGTCGCATGGATCGTAGCTCTGGCTGTCAGACACAGGCACACAGCGCACGCTCTGGTAGCTGCTTGATTGTCTACTTCTCACGATGCCCAGTGCTAGCACCTGCTTGACCATATCTGTCTGCCGCGTTTACTTCTCGTGGACTCGGACACGCTTCGGTGAAGCATGTTACTGGGGTGGCTGTTCCCATAGCTCCAGTGTTGGCGAGAACTTCGCGCCGAGGTGTTGTGCGACCGTCGGCACATGCGTTGCTTCCCCAACTGTTGCTTCAAGCTGCTTCGACACTGGGACGACCTGGCCTCAGCTTCTGCCAAAGCCATCGCAACAGCATGATCGTAGCAATAGTAAGGATGCGTCATAAGACGCAGTTGCTCTGTGGTATTTCCTTAGCTGTGTGCATGCAGGTACGGCAGGCTCGAGCGAGACGCAAAAGGCTCGGGCCGAGCTGTGCCAGTCTTCGTCCCCGACCTGCCGGGCATAGGAACTCGAACTCATCGCAGAAAGCTCCCCTTCTCAAGTCAAAGTCTTCAGAAGATGTGCTGCGGCTTCGGAGCCGTCAGCCCGGGCTCCTAGTCCTAGACTCTAAGTGCACGCCTCACCCCAAGCCATCCCTTCAGTCCCAGACAAAAGCCCAATACCTTCCACCCCTCCCAACGGCATCTCGACTCCTCATGAGTGTGACGTCGTGCCGGGAGGCCCTATACTGTGGTTCCGGTCAGGTTGTGGGTTTTCGGCTTGTAGTTTTGTTGATGTCGGGCTTTTGGGGTTAGGTTCAACGCTGGAGCCCCTGGTCAGAGACAGGCGGGATCCTTCATGGACGCCAGTCTTTCGCAGCTTCTGCAGGCCGACTCTGCCCGGAAGTTGGGAGCCTGCATTAAAAGACGGCGAGACTTCTAAGGCCAAGAAATCCTCAACCCGACTGGAAGCCCAATATCCATCGATATCCCAAACCCTAAGGTACATGCTCTAGAAGCCTCCAAGTCATGAATCCAACCCTGTAAGCTGTGAGCATTCTGTACCCTAGCTCTGGAACCTGCCTGACGTTTTTTTTGAATTTGAGGCCTCTTTTGGGAGGTTGACGACATTGAGTTGAGGATTTGAGGGTTTGGTTTGCAGGTTGTGGGGGTTTTGAGGCTCGTTGCTGGACTCCTTCATCGGACGATTTTGGCAATGCTTTAGCCTTGTAAGCTGGTGTTTGGGGGTTTCTGTTTAGGCCGGGCTCGGCCCCAGCCGCCAACCCTAAATTTCTTAATCTTGAGCCTTGAAAGGCTTGGTGCGATCACCCTAAAGATCGCACGCGTCTTGCGCGGGTTGCTAGATGCTTTGACGGTTGCGTTTTTTTTGAGGTAAGAAAGCCAAAAAGGACGCATGGATTCAGCTGCTCTCTCCGTTCCTCAACCAAGTCTCTTGGTCCTTGGTACTTCACCGCAGAATTGAGCATGAAAAGCCATCGTGAAAACCTGAGTGCTCTTCTTTGGCTCTCAACCTAACAAAGCCCTCAAGCCCAGGGGTGGTGGCAAGAGCTGCCGGCCTGGGAGAGACGAGCCTGGAGCCGAGTCAGGGAGGGGATTTAGGGATATTTAGGGCCTTTAGGGAGTTCAGGGCCATTAGGGCCATTAGGTGATGCGCGGAAACAATTAGGAGGCTTCTTTCTTTGGCTGAGCCCCCTGCATGCCAGCTGGTTCAGATTGATGGGAAGCCGACCAGCCGAAGCCTCGAACCCCGAAGACCCACAGTGTTGTGACATTGAGATTGGGCTTCAGGCTCGGGTCAGGTGGACATCCTTCGCGAGAGCCCAGTCTAAAAATTGGGAGCTCCAGGACAAGCTCTCGCCCCCAAGCCCCAGTAAAACCCTGGGCCCGAAGCAGCGGAGCCTTAATTGAAGCCCCGAAAGACCAGCTTTCAAGGCACGAGCCGTTTGAAGCGCCCGTGGTCGAGGACAGGGACTGGGTGCTTCGCGTTCAGTGTTCAGGGTTTGACATTCGGGGTCCCGATTGGCCAAAGCAGAAGATCGTCCAACAGAAGCGACAGTTGTTGTGACTCGTATGTGGCAGTCGTCGGTCGATGGTAGTGCTCATTCGAATGCTCGCTTTGCGTCTGTGCGCCATCATTCGGAAGATAGTTGCACATGTGGAGATGTTGATGTGCTTGTTCATATGCCTGGAGCTGTTGAGTCATCACGTTGTATAACCTTCCGTCGTGTCTTGAGCTTTTGGGAGCAGAGTACTTGAGGGCTGCGCTGCAGAATATTGAGACCTGAGTAACTAGCAGTACGACCCCTTTGTAGTCCCCATATACCTGGAGCTCAAGGCCCCGCAAACCTCCCATATTTTGCCTTTGCTTCAATGCATCAGCTCCACGGCTGCAGGACGAAGGAAGTTTGGCTGAAAGTCGAAAGTTAAAAAACCCGGCATTTTATCCGCAGCCGGGCTGCAATCTGCAAATGACAGTTTGCTCGTGTACAGACCCGGAGATTATTCATCAATCGGTACAGGATGCGGACCTTCCGGTAATGTCAACGCATGTCAACGCTCCTCAGAAAGAGCACACCACTCATGTACCAACAAGGCATCCGTCACGCCGTCAGCTCGTCACCTCGTCCGCTTGTAACCGCTCCTGGGCTTCTGGAAGGCAGTCCACTTAACTTATTTGAAGCAGCAATGCTTCAAGCTGGCGCAGCGCCAGCACGCGAGAGCCCGCACCGTGAGCTTTCCAGTTTCGAGGTCCTATGGTTGTTGTTCGCGCATGCGCGCTGACGGTGTGCGGTGTGGCGCCTGTGCGCCTATTGCGGCTGAACCCTGAGGGCCCGAGGCAGCGACTTTATGCCTCCTGAACTTTAATAATTCGAGCTTTGATCACACCGAAGAGGACTTCATAGGCTTTGTGAAATTCGAAGATTTAGATGGGCAGGGAGATGTCTTAAGGCCTTGCTCAAGGTCTCGGAGATGAATACTTCGGCTTTACCTATCCAGTTGCGACCTCCATACGTCTTGATTCCGGACCTAGTCTGACCAGGA